GATGCGGCCCGACTCGCCGCACATTGCGGTTCGCTCCGATCTTCCGATTCGACGTTGACGGATGTTGCGTTCTCCCAGACATCCCACGTACAGTCAACCCGCGCAGTAGGGATGGGCAGCCTTCCCAAGGGTAGCCTTGCATCCTGAACTCCTGGGCCAATCCTTGGCCACTTTCGTTGGCCGCGCCCCGCTCGAGAAGGCTTGAACTGGGCGCCCGAGGCCCTTGCTGGCGGTCCGGGGGCCCTCGCCAGGCCCTCGGACCGCCAGCAACAAGATTCGGTAGAGGCCTCTTAGATGGGGTCCGAGTAGATGGGGTCGAAGGATCGCGCCGCATCGCCGATGCATCGGCGACGCCAGCGTGCAGGAATTCGGGCTTCGCATCGAGCCACAGCGCCGATGCATCGGCGATGCGGCGCGATCCCCCGACTCCAACTACTCCGACCCCATCCGGGAGGCCTAGATTCGAGACGGACATCAGTTTGGCATCGCTCGAACGTGGTTTTTTTTTCCTCGGCGAGGTACACCGAGGAGCCTCTGGAAGAACGTTGCGACGACACGCACGCACAACGGAGGAAAAGGCGCAGGGAGTGGACGTCCGAGCGACGGCGAGCCAGGCCCTGGGGAAAGGATCGAGACTTCGGGGGAACGCAGGCTGCCACAAAAACATCGGATATGGCTGCAAAGGGGCAGGACTCTGATATATATATATATATATATATACATATACACATATATATATATATATATACATGTACATATGTGCATATGTGCATTCAAGAAACTCGGCTCTGGAACCGGGGTCGGGACAACATGGAGCAAGGGGGTTACGACATCTGCTGCGCGCAGCTGGTTTCGGCCTCGCCGCGGGGCGCTTGCCTCACAATCGGCGTCACCCCAGCATATTATTGCAGGAGGACAATTCAAAAATAGTAAAAAATAGTCAGGGGACTATGTTTTGACTATTTTTCAGTATGCTTAGGGCATTGTTTCAGTATTTGGTATTTTTTCGTCGAAATATCCCCCCTTCAGGGGGACAGGCCCGACTTAATACTAATACTATATGTGCGTCGCCCCCCCCAGGAGCGACGCGCGCAGAAACATCCCACAGCATAGGCTCCGTGGCGAGCGCTTTCTGGCCATACCGGTTGGGGGACGATATGCTACAAGCAGGTTCTCGATAAGCTACGATATGCTACGATACAATTTATTACGATATAAATCAAGACGCACGCCTCCAGTGAGGACACGTTGTAGTAGTATGTTCATGTGCGGCACACATAAGGTTGACGCCAGGAGGCGCCGGGGAGATAGATTGAGTGAGTTGATTCGCTGACCCCCGCTTTGCGTCCGACCCGGCAGAGGCTTGATTTCGATATTGTCCCCACCGTGGCCCCTCGTGGGATAGGCCGCGAGCAGTTGCGATTGCATGTTGCTTCCTCAAGGGCGCGGGCCTCCTCTGGGAGGCCTTTGCTTCGGGCCAGCTGGCGGTCTCTGGGGCCAGCTTCGGGAGTCAGGCGCTCGAAATGCCAGTTCGTGGTCTCCCCTCGTTCGAGTAGGAGATCGATTACAGAAATGATGTACTCCAGCATTTATTCCCCGACGAAAAATAACGTAGAGTGGAGCTACAAGGAACCCGACGAAACACACGACAGAAAACGGCGGACGAACAATTTCGGGGCACATCAATTCTGTAGCCGATCTCCCCCTTCGGGCCTCGTGGGTCCCCGCCCCCCGTGCTTTCCCTCCTCCATCTCCTCCCGCCTCCCCGCTGCTTCCCGCCTCCCTTCCGCCTCCCTGCTCCGTCCCGCCCTCCTCCCCCGCCTCGCACTTCCTCGTGCCCCCTCCTCCCGCCCCCATCCTCCTTCCCTCCCCTGGCCCCCTCCTCGAGATTTTTGTTTGTTTGGTTGTTGTTGGACCCCCCCTTGGCCATAAGGCGAGTGATGCCCCCACTCCCCCCCCCCCCCATAACGCTCCCCCCCCCCCCCGAGGGCGTCCAGGCACTGCCGCGGCGCGTTCGGCCCCATAGTTTGTGTGGTGTTTGACCCACACGGCGGGGGGGGCGCCGTCATGCCCATCCCCCGCCCCAGCCACCCCCCCCTCGCCTCCGCGAGCAATGAAATGTTATCCCCCCCTGACCCCCTCCGCATTTCCGGCTCTGCTGGGCCCCATCACGATGCAGATTTCGAGCAGGAGGCCGACCACAGAATCGATCAATCGCACAATTTTTGTTTTGTATATTTTTCCACATTCAACACAATGTGTTTAGATACACAAGCAGCCAACTCCTATGTGATCCGCTTCGACGGAAATTATGTTCTGCGGATATCAGTTATGTCGTCGATCTCCGACCCGAAACGTTGTCAGGGGCAAGTCCGATCCGACCTGATTTCCCGATTCGGTGCTGGCGGATCCTTCCCTCCTCCCGCGCTCGGAGATAGGCGCGTCGGACCCCCCCTCGCCCACCGATCGCCGAGGGGGGCTCGCCAGCCCGCCCCGCCCAGGAGCGCGCGGACTCGCCATCGGGGGCTCCTCGTCGATCCATCGGCGAAGTGCCGTCGATCCGCGCTCGACGCCTCCCCCCCTGAGCTGCCCCCCCCTGCGGAACCGCTGCCCCACGGGACTCCATTCGGCATCGCAGAGTGGACTGGGGTCGTGGTCGAACGCTTCGTGTCCTGACGGGTTGAGCATGTCAGGCCCTCGTCGCGAATCCTGCGGGCAAACGCGTCGGTGGTCGAACCATGGAGTTTCCGAACACGTCACGCCCTTACCCTCGCACGCGATGGTTCTCCCCCAATCCCAGACTTGTGGACGAACCGTGCAGCCGATGAAGCAAACAATTCTGGGATACACCCCGAGGGGGATATTCGGACGCACCACCGTCGAGGATGGGCGCCCCCCCATCGTATATCCCAGGGTTGGGCCCCAAATTTCGAGGTCGATTCAAAAAACCCTCGAAGCCTGGGACACTGGGCGACATTAGCCCCTGTCATACCCGGCCTTCCGACGGCGATTCTTCTTGTGGCCTAGAGGTTTCGACCGCTTCTTCCGGGCCTGTGCTCCCGCCTGGATACTTGTCCGATGGCCCCGTGGCCCGAGAACGCGTGGTGTTCTGATGCTGTTAGAGGAGGGGAGGAGGGGGGGATGAGGAGGAGGAGGAGATAGGAGGAGAAGATAGGAGGAGGAGGAGGAGGAGGAGGAGGAGGAGGAGATAGGAGGAGGAGGAGGAGATAGGAGGAGGAGGAGAAGGAGGAGGAGGAGGAAGGAGGAGGAGGGAGGAGGAGGGAGGAGGAGGAGGAGGAGGAGGAGGAGGGATGAGGGAGGAGGAGGAGGAGGAGGAGGAGGACTGAGCAACCCACCCGCAGTGGGGCGCCCGGCGGGTTCGTCCACACGGGGGCCTTGACGGTTTTGTGGCAGGCCCCCCCACGCCACCTAAGACCGACGGACAGCAACGCGTCCTGGGTCGAATGGCGTGACATTCTTACGCTCACAGAAGAAAGGGGCATGGCATGGGGAGAAACGGTTGGAAGTTCTCGCGAATGAATCATATCGGCGTTGGACCAGAGGTGCAAGCGCCGACCCAAGCAATTTGCACGGGCCTCCGACAGCTCATGCTGATGATTTGTCCCCTGTCTGGCAGGATGGGGTTGTTAGATCAAAACCCGCCTCGCACCCGTTCTACCGCGGGCGCCAGGCCCAAAGAGTGCCAGTGTTCCCAGAGTATCCCGCCTCGCGTTCTTGGGCTGTGAGCGTTTGACGCAAAATAGTTATTGTTCGTGCAGCTCTGAGAACCGCCGAGCCCCGACGTTCTTTTTTCGCAAAGACCTCCCGAGGTCCCGACCCATTCTTGGAGACCGGCTTCTTATCTTGAGCCGTTTGGTTGACAGTCCCGATGTTTCTGACGAAGGCCCCCGCCGGAAACAACAACAAACATGTTCCGCCGTGATTTTTGTCACAACACGAGAGGGTTTGCTTGGATCACCGCTAGGGTTAAGTCGGGCACGTCCCTCTACAGGGGGAATAATAGAAAATAGTCCAGAAATAGTCGGGGGACTATTGTTTGACTATTTTTGAGCATTTGTGGGGTATGATTTGGGTATTTTCAACGTTTCGCCCAACACCCCCCATGTAGGGGGACATGCCCGACCTAACGCTAGGGTTGCTCAGGGGACATCTGGGCCTCCCAGATCGGGTCGGAGCAGAAGGGCTCGGATGGCCGCGGGTCGATGCGGAGCCTGCTTTGTTCCGCGCTGGCGTCGCCGATGCACTGCCGACACTGCCGATGCATCGCCGATGCAGCGCTGATGCATCGCGGATGCATCGGTGATGCGTCGGCGATGCATTTGCGATGCGGCGCGATCCTCCGACCCCACCTGCTCGGACCCCATCTACAGTCGGGGGTGGGCTGGGGAGGACACGCGAGCGGACACCAAATGTTCCTCCGCGGGGCCACGCTGCCACAGGAGCGCAGAGGGCATTGGCCGCGAACCACAGGACGCAAGGGTACCCTCGATTCGGCTTGGTCGACCTACTAATCGAGGTCGACTCGGGACCATCGAAATGGGTACGGGAGAAATGCGTATGGTGCCCAACGGCAGTTCTTGTTCAGCTTGAACAGGACTCGCTGTTCGCGCCACCGCGTACGTGGTTCTTTGAAGACAAAAAGCCGCCTGTCCAACAGCGGCCGCTGTCGGCTTTGGACAACATTTGTTGTTGGGCATCGTACCCACTTTCTTCGTACCCATCTCGCGCGTCCAAGTCGGGTGTGTCCCCTAAGCAACCCCGGCGGTGATCCGAGCAGAAGGACCCGCACCGCGCCCCGCTGGAGGCGCCGGCCGGCTTCGTCCAGACGGGGGCCTTGACGGGCCTGTGGCGGGGCCTGACGCCCGTGCTGCTCAGGCCCGCGCCGTGCCGGCCCCCCCGCGGGCCTTCCCGCTTCGGTCGGCCACCATGCGGGCCGAGTACGGCAGTTTGGCGTCTGGAGAGAAGATGAGAGGATTCGGAAGCAAATCATGGGAGTTTTGTAGAGATGGATAGCGTCGACTTGCGTCGAGTAGCGTCTTAGAGTCGATGGGATAGCGCCAGTTCAGCGTGGCTAGCGTCGATTAGCGTTGATTTAACGACAACCAGCGTCGACAATCGTCGATTAGCGTCGATTCGCAAGAACCGACAAGATGGTATGGGAGGCTCACATGAGTTGCCATCGAAAAAAGAGGAAACGGTACCCATACCCTTACCTTTCCCTCGTTATCCCCTTTTTCGGGCCTCTTGGGAGGCCCTCATCGCCACCGCTGGATGCGCATCGTAATCCTGGTCAGAACGCACCCCAGGAGAGGTCCGGGGAGCATCGGTATCGGTACCTTCTGACCTCCCCAGAAGAGGCACGAGGACCATGACCAAGATGTCGCGGGATTTTGCCGATGCCGATCTTGGTCATGGTCCGTGTCGGCCGTCGCCGATTCGCGAGGATGATCCACGAGTTGGCGCGGACCAAGAGCGACTGTGACCAAGATCGGCACGACGTCTCTGCGTTCAGTCTGAGTCATGGTCCTCGTGCTCTGCCCTTTCGGCGTCGTGTCGACGCGGCGGCGACCCCGCCACGGGCCTTCGAGGCTCAGTGCCGACAGTGGCCCAGAAGCAATCGATATTGAACGATACGCCGTTTCGCAAAGCGCCGACCGCTCAAGGACGGGTGCTCCACGAGATGGGCGGGACCGACGCAAAGGTCGTGCGGCACGAAGCCGTTGAAGAAATCTTCGGTACGATCGAAACGGGGTCTTCGAAAACTCTGGTTACTGGAAACCCGATCCCGATCCTTGATCCCTGGCAAACTGAGATCCTCGAACCTAGACGTACCTCGATCCCAGACATCCGAAGCATCGTTGTGTTCAATCGCGCCATGTTTGTTCGGCAGTGTCGGCCTGCAGGAGCTGTTTTCGGGCCCACGGGCCATCAACCATTGATCTGGGACGAAGAGTTGTTCCCCCCGAAGGGGCCGAGACCTTTTGGACGGCGGATTTTCTGATAGAATGAAAAACGCAGATCGTCGGATGTCTGGGATGGGGACGGAGACGAACGACATGTCCTGCCCACTCTGAGCAGAAGCCGCTGCCAGCGTCGCCGCGGGCGCTGGCCAAATGGACAGAGCACCTCGGCTGCCCAGCATCGGGGAAACGTCAGACTCGAGCACGCCGGAATTCGGGTTCGCCAGCGCTTTTCGACGAGCGCGTCCTGGGTTATGACGGTCCAGCTTTCGTGGGATGCTTGCAGCGGGAGGTCGCGTCAAATGCCGGATTGGGCCTCGTCATGTGCATCATGGCCCCGTCAGACCAACCCCGCTCCCCCGAACCCGTGCCTCACGTCTCCCCCTCCCCGCTTGTGGGTCGGAGTCCTTCGCCTGGGCTCTCAGCGGTCCCTCAGACGGAGACGGTAGAGCCTCCAGGGCGCGCGCGCCGCCCAAATGCGCGCGTTCGCTTGAACGCCAGGAACTTACGTCCCCAGGCGGCAGGGGGGCCACAGAAGGGGGCCCCGAGCGTTCCCCCAATCTGCGCGCGCACCACCGCCCCAGCGACGTAGAGTTCGACCGGTCGTGGTGCCTCGAACCCGAGCCTTCTGGTGGAGTCCCATGCCAAGGAATACCCTGCTTGCCTCCAGGGTGCCCTGGGTTTCTTGGGTTCCGATGGTTCTGCGATGGAGAGCGCGACGCTCCCGCACCAAAAGTCGAGGCGCGCCCCGGGGCCTCGGGGTTGGGTTTCTCGTGGACGGCTTCTTGTGGTCGGGCCTCCACTGTACAGTCGACCCGCATTGCAAGGATATAGCATCCCTCCCAAGGGTACCCTCGCATCCTTGCCTCCTGGGTCCATCCTTGGACACTTGTGTTCGCCGCGCTCCGCTCGAAACGCTTCCGGGTCCTTATCGCGCATCCTTACTATCCGGGTTGACTGTAGTCCCTCGAGCCCGAGTCTCACGTCTCCCCGACAGCAGCGGCCGCTGTCGCTCGTGGGCGGCACCCGCTGCTGGGCAGAGCGCCCCCCGTGCTATGCTGGGTCGCCCGCGGGGGCACGACGAGAGCACCGCACATGGCGCGGCCTGCGCCCGAGCGGTGGCCCTCCTCCAGATGGGGAGGTGGTGCGGGGGCGCGAGGTGTCTCCCGATGCCGCCCAGCACCTAGGCCTCGAAGAAGAGAAGCCGCCATTCATTGAACATAAACTTTGGGCGCTCCGCGCGGAGTTCTTGGATCCGCGCGCCCCCCCCCCTGGGCGGCGCCTCCGGCGCCGTCCCTGGCGCGCGGAGCGCGCCAGGGAGGGGGGTCCAGCGCAGGTCCAAGGAATCCGCGCGGAGCGCCCAAAGTTTATGTTTATGGCGGTTTTCTTCTTCTAGCCGAGCACCCAAGCCGCTTCCAATTTTGAGATTCGGCATCATCGACTTTACTACGCTTCTAGAAGGCCACATTGCGACCCCTACCCCACCTCCCCCCCTTACAAGTCGTGGGGTGGTGGGGTCGGCTCGCGTGCGGCCTCCTAGCTTCCACGCAGCGTGGCAGCGTGCGTGGTGCTGCTGGCGGGCGTTCTGCCTGGACACGTCGCAGACCGCGTGGCCCGTGGGCGGCGGAAGGTCCAACGGCCCTCCTCTGCCCACGTGTCCATCCAGCAGCCTGCCCCGAGGGCGGGGCGCGAGGGTGCGAAGCGCGCCGAGAGACGCAGCGGGCTGCGAAGCGCGAGGCGCGAGATGTCCCGGGGCGGTGCGCGGGCGCGAGGGGCGCGAAGCTGCTTGCTTGCGCACGGCGGGGCGCGACGTGCGAAGGCGGGGGGGGCCTCGATCTGCTCCGCGTGGCAAGCTCTCGGCGGCCAGCCCGGGGAGGGGGAGGAAGGGAGGAGGTGCGGGCCTCCTCGGAAGGCTCGGAAGGCTCCCGCCGGCGGCCTTCTGGGGTGTGTCCAGTGCCCTCCCGGGCAGCACACACACACGGAGAGCTTCTCGGGAGGCGCGGGAGGACTTCTGAGAAGTCCTGCCGCCTTTTGAGAAGGCCTCCTTCTCACTCCCCGCCAAGGCTCGCCGCCGAAGTGTGGGCCGTCTGGCAGGCCCTCGTCGCCACGGCGGGGTTCGCCTCTCGAAGTCCTGGCCCCAGCGCCCCCCCCGGGGCAGGTCCGTGTCGGTATGTTTGTTGGCTTCCCCGCTGAGGCGGTGCGGCGACGACACCGTCCGCGCGGTGGGTCGGTGGGGCTTCCGGGTGACCGCACGGCTTTGGGGCGGTTCGTTCTCCGAGGACGTGTAGTTCAGGCTGGCTCCGACGCCGAGACTCTGATGACTCCCAGGCTCGGACTTCGAGAGTCCGACCCGGACTCCGAGTTCGGCTCTTTTCCCGCTTTTCCCGCCTTGCAATCCCTCTCCCCTTGCCTCCCTCTCTCTCTCTCCACAAGCTCGGAATAAGACCTCTAGACTCGAGAGCCGAGGCCTCAAGCGACTGAGGCCATCGGGCTCCCAACGCCATGCGGCGACGGACCGTGCGGTGAGGTCTTTCGGGGGAGGTCGAGGTCACCGCGCGGCCCGCCACCGCACCGTTTTTGGGACCACCCGTTTCGGGGCTCGCTTCGATGCCTCCGTTCCGATGCCTCCCACTCGATTCGACTCGACCTCGATTTGGGCTCCGATTCCTCAGCGGAGGCCTACTGATTCGCCTGCGGATTCACGCCGACTCGACTCCTCCCGACTCGGCCAGCGAGAGTCCCGCGCCGATCCGAGTCATGTCGACCGCCGATTCTCGACCGCCGACCCGACTTGTCGATTCGATTCGGGGCTCTCCTGCCCCCCGGGCGCGGCGCGAAGAGCAGGCGCGGCCAGCGCCCAGGAGGGGCTCCACGGGGGCGGGCGCGGCCCGCGGCAGGCGCGCGACGCGTCGGCGCGCCCGCGCCGCCGGCGCGGGGACTCTCTCTCTGAGGGTGCTCGCTTCGAGCCCAGGATCGCCGAGCGCATCCCGCTACTCGCAGAGCGTGCCTGCTCGCAAGCGTCCAGGAGAACAAGGTTTTTTTCTCGGCGTAGTGGATCGTGAATTCCCCGCGGCGGATCCAGGCCATTTGCGAGTGGTTGCTTTGCGTGTAGTGGAACGCGCTTCGAGCCCAGGAGGCCCGCAGAAGACATCCGACGTCGCGAGATCCGCACGAAGGCCAGGGTCGAGAGCACAGTTCGGGACGATCGGCATGGGCACAGGAAGAATGATCACGATGCCCAACAGCAGTTCATGCCCATTTTGAACAGGACTCGCTGTCCGCGCCGCCGCGGACGTTGTTCTTTGAAGGAAAAAACGCCTGCCCAACAGCGGCCGCCGACGGTTTTGGACAACATTTGTTGGCATTATGTAGTGGAGAGCCATGCCAAGAAATACCTTGCTTGCCTCCAGGGTGCCCTGGGTTTCTTGGGTTTCGGTGATTTTGCTATGGAAAGCGTGACGTTTCCCACGCCAAAAATCAATGGCAGCCCTGGGGTCTCAGGGCTGGGTTTCTTGTGGAAGGTTTCTTGTGGACTGGCCTCCACTGTGCCCATTTCGGGCGTCCAGAAGAGTGGTCCTTGGCAGCGGAAGAGCATGTTCTCGCCGTCTTTGGTTTGCCGTGTTTCTTCCGGGTGCTGGCGCCGTCGCTCTCCCGATCCGTCGCGGCATGGTTCTCCGTTCTGGTTCCGGTTTCAATCCCAGGGGCCATGTTTTCGCGTCTCGGCGGAGCATTTGTTGTGCCGCCTCCAAAGCTAAGGCCAGCCAATTCGAGGGTGCACAGGAGCCGAAAGCGGGGATCTTTCGAGAGAGAACGGCTCACGCGGTGTCATAAAACAGGGTGCACGTCGTGGGGCCGGAGCCGGACCTCCTGTAGGATGGTTGCTGTCCCTTCTCTGGGATTCTTACGGGCAGCTCGCTGACAGAAAGCCTTTGCTTGGAGCGTTTTCATCTCTGGGTGAACGATGGCGTCCTGCGTTAACCGCATGTGCATTTGGACGCGATGAAGCCCAATCCGCTTCATAAGTCCGTGTTTCCGCACCACGATGATACCAGTTTCTCCCAAGCGGCACGTAATTTCTGAATGAGCCATGCGTGGCTATGTGGGGAAACGTTTCGAGCATGATGTGTGCATGGCCTCTCATCCTGCGCGATCAAAGGGTTCTGGAGAGGCGATGTGTTTTCACACACAAAATACCAAGCGCATTGGTCTTGAAATGCGTTGTGTAACATGATCAGGCTGTGATTGCGCGGAGGTGTTAATGTATAGTACAGTTGCGCTGTGACGCCATGATTATAACACGTACGTTTGCTGTGCAATAATATAGGACGGAAGCCTTAGGTAAGACCTCAAGTGCAAAAGCAATCCGCCTTGGGGGCAGTTTGTATGTCGGCGGCCTGCAGAGTAATCGCTGAGGGCCGCCCCCTTCCCTGCGTGCTCGCCCCGGCGTGCCTTCCCGCTGTCCTTGAAGCCCTGCCTTCCCGCCGTCCGCGCCGTCCCTCACCCCCCCCTCCCCTGCCTTCCATGCCTCAGAGTAGACTGTGCTCTCGGATTTTTACTCCGAGAGCACAGTCTGCTTTGAGCTCCCTGCTGCGCTTGCGCGCCTGTCGCCTCCAGTTGCTTGGCCTCTGCAGGTCGGTTCCCTGCAGCGCGATCTTCTTCGTCACGTACGAGCAGGTGCACCATGGCTTGGATCACACGCATCCGGAGGGGGGGGAGGGTAGAGAGATCCCGGACGGGGCTAGGACGAGGATAAATCCGTTCCTGAGCGTTCCGAAACGCTCTCAGAGCGTTGCGGAACGCTCCGAGAAGGCTGCGGCGCCCGAGACATCCTCCAGAGCCGCCGGATCTCCGAGATTCTCGATTTGTCCTCTCGCGATGTTATCTTCGCCGTGGCTTTTGCCTTAAGATCGGACCGCACGAGCCGAGGCAGGAGACCTGGGGAGCATCTTCAACGACAGCAGCATCGGCCGGGGTCCCGTCACGATTCACGATTTGCCCCTGTTCCACGTCCGCCTTCCATCCATCCTTCACCGCTTGTCATCCTGCTGCCCCTCCTCACTCTGGTTGTCCCAATTGTCGGGTTGACCCAAAAGGGGGTCCAGCGACAAGGGGGTGGTGCAATAGATTTGCTGCAATAGAGTTGTGGAGCTGCAATACATGTGGGGCGTGCAGGACATTCCGGGGCGCAAATGTACTGCTGGGTTTTCGCGTGCAAAACATGATTTGCAACACAATGCAATACAATTCTCCGGCGCAATACGTTTGCAATACACTTGCCCCAAGTCTGTTGCACCACCCACTTTCAGCTGGACCCCCTTCTGGGTCAACCAAAAATTGGGGGTTCAGCGATAAGAGGGTGGTGCAATAGATTTGGTGCAATAGATTTGTGGGGTTGCAATATATTTGGGGTGCGCAATACATTCCAGTGCGCAAGTGTATTGCTTGATTTTTGCGTGCAGCACATTCGCTGCAATAAAATGCAATACAACTCTCCAGTGCAATACACTTGCAATCCAATTCCCCCAAATCTACTGCACCACCCCCTTCCAGCTGGACCCCCTCCTGGGTCCACCAACCCCCTGCCATCCCCCTGCCTCATCCCCTTTTCTCCTCCGCGTGTGGCGACGCTCTCCGTATCCAGACGTTCTGGGCCGCTCAGACTCGCTAGACCTCTCTCCCTGGAGCGCGCCAGGGGGGTCAGCTCAGGTCCAAGACATCCTCGCGGACCGTCGAAAGTTTATGTTCAAGCCCGTTGTTGCTCCTCTAAGCTAGCCGCGGGTCCAGATCTCTTGCCGGGCCTCGCTGCGCCCCCCCCCAATCTCCCTTCCCTTGGCCTCGCCCCGACGTGTGCAGTTTTTCTCTGCGAGGACCATCGAGGAGCATCTTGCATCAGATTGCGAGCGAGCAACAAAAGCACGCACGACGCACACGAACGCACCGGGAGTCGACTTCCAAGGGATGGCAAGCTCCATGCCAGTAAACTTGCCAGCGTCTGAAGGGAAGCAGCCTACTACCTCCTACCTCCGCTCCTCTTGCTGCCGTGGGGCCTCCGGCAGGCCGGCGCCTGGCCGTCGTTGTGGAAGGACGCCCTCGCTGGAGGCGCCCCCGCGGGGAGGGGTGTTGGCGCCTCTCCTCCCTAGGCCTCCTAGATGGGGTCGGAGTAGATGGGGTCGGAGGATCGCGCCGCATCGCCGATGCATCGCCGATGCATTGGCGATGCGGCTCGATGTGGGGTCTGATTTTCTCCACGCTGGAGTCGCCGATGATTCGCCGATGTATCGGCGATGCGGCGCGACCCTTCGACCCCATCTACCCCGACCCCACCTAGGAGGCCCCTTATCCCTTCCCAGGCACCCCCCCGCTCCGCGAAAAAGTCACGACGAGCTTCGAGCTCAGAGCATCAAGGCTCGTGGGGCCTCTGGGGGGCTTTTCGTCGCCGCGGCCGGAGTCGCCCCCAGACTCTTGTCAGAGCGCACCCTGGGAAAAGTCTCGGCCTCCTCCTCCTCCTCCTCCTCCTCCTCCTCCTCCTCCTCCTCCTCTCCTCCTGCTCCTCTTCCTCCTCCTCCTCCTCCACCATCCTCCTCCTCCTGCTCCTCCTCCTCCCCCTCCTCCCCTCCCCTCCCCCTCCCCCTCCCCCTCCCTTCTCCACCATCCTCCTCCTGCTCCTCCTCCTCCTCTTCATCCTCCTCCTTCTCCTCCTCCTCCTCCTCCTCCTCCTCCTCCTCCTACTACTACTACTACTACTACTACTGCTGCTACTACTGCTGCTGCTGCCGGGCGGCGTGGCGGCGCCATCTGCTCGCACCGGGCGGCTCCGCCCTGCGGGCCCCGCGGGCCCCCACGGGCCGATCGGCGGCTCGGCAGAGGAAGGCCGCAGAGAGATCTGGTCTGGCGCTCGGCGTCGACTCTTGTCGGGATCCCGCAGAGGGGTCGATGATCCTCAGGACGTGCGTGTTAGCCCCATGTGTGTGTATGCGTTACCCCCTCCAGCCCAACCAGTAGATCATCACGTCGCCTGCGTCGTGTCGAAGGTCCTCGACGGGCAAACACACTTTGCGGCTAACACACGGTTCGAGGATCATCGAGAAGGGGGGGGAGGTGGGAGTTCGATCGGGTCTGGCACCGATCTACCTGAAACAGATGCCCCCCAGCCGCAGGCAGCTCCCGATAGTTGCCGATTGGTGGGGCATGCGGGGGGCATCTGTTTGCGGCAGTTCGGTGCACCAGCAGATCGAGCTCGCGCCCCCCCTCTCAGGGTCACCCCGCTTTTTGGTGGATCCCGTCTCGGCCCCTGCCCCGAGACCTGCTTTGCAATGGTCCCTTGACGGCCCTGGGGCCTGGCGAGGGCCCCCCTGATTATCGAGGATAAGGGAGCTCCCAACCCTAGTAACACAGAAGACGTGCCCTCACTGACGTAACCTTCTTCGCATTGGGGATAATAATTCTGGGCGGTTTGGTTTGACACATCTGCGGGAGAGAGCCCTATCCCTAATGTTTGTGTTGCCCTCCTAACTTAGGTCCCCTCCCAACGGGTTGGTCATTTTTTTGTGAATCACCTGAGGCCCAGGGTAGCACCATCAATGATTCTTCTGTCGTGACTGTTCTGCAACGGCGCGAAGGAGTGTGGGTCGGCTCCCAGGGTCGGTCAGGCAGGGCCCCCAAGGTCACCCGCGGGGACGCGCAGAGAAGCCGCGCTTCGCGCGTCGCGGCCTTGGCCAGTGCGGCTGCCGTTTTCGCACGCGTACGGGCCAACATTTGGCCCAGCTTGGCGTCGTCGGGTGGTAGACCCCTCCATCGGGCTTCATTGAAGAATCGTGCCAGATGGCTCCGGAACGCATTCAGAGTGTCCTTTGGACGCTCTGGAACGGCTGGGGGGGCTGACGCTCGAAGAAGGAAGAAAAAACGCTATAAACATAAACTGTTGGCGCTCCGCGCTGATTTCTTGATTCCGCGCTGGGCCCCCCCGGCGGCGCCTCCAGCGCCGCCCCTGGCGCGCCCCGCGCGCCAGGAAGGGGGGGTCCAGCACCCGTGCGGGACATCCGCGCGGAGCGCCAAAAGTTTGTCGGTCTTCTAGACAACGCTTCCCCGCAGGGTTTCAGAGATCCCCGCCCGACTTGGGCATCGCAGATTCTCGCGGCGGCCGGTCCTGAAGCTGCCCGCAACCAGGGGCAGGGGCCTTCCCCTGGCCCATGGGCCGTCCGGGAGCGACCGGGGGGGGGACGGCTGGCCACGGGAGGGAAGCGTCGGCGGCGAATGGGGGGGAAGTGAGAAGGAGAAGGCCCTCTCAAAGAGGCGGCGGGACTTCTCAGAAGCCCTCGCGCCTTCTGAGAAGTTGTTTTGTTGTTGTGTCTTCGGGGAAGGCTTCGAGCAACTTTCCAGAAGGCCGGGGGGCTTCCGAGCCTTCTGAGAAGGCCTTCTCCTTTTCACTTCGCCCTCTCGCTCGCCGCCAAGCTTTCGGAGGGGGCTGGCGGCGGCGACGCCGGCGACGACGGCGAGGAGGACGAGGACGAGGAGGAAGGCGACCGCGCGAGCGGCGACGGCGACGGCCCCCCGAACCTCCGAGCCGGGGTTTCCCTATCGTTTCGAGGCGGGCCCCCCGGGAGATCCCCGACCTTTCTTCCCAAGGCCGGGTGTTCGAGCTGAATTGTTTTGTTGGGGCGTCACGAGCGTAAAAATGCCTTCACCCTGGTTCACGAGGCTGTGCGCTGAAACTCCTGCAGGCTGACAGGGGAAGCCCTGCGTGTCGCGCGGTGTCCTAGCGGTCCTCTGGCCTGTGGGAGCTCCCAGGAGGTCTACTGAACACGCACTTGTAACCGTAAGTCGGGCCTGTCCCTCTACAGGAGAGATTTTCAAAAATAGTAAAACAATAGTTTGGGGACGTTTTTGTTTAAATTATGTTTGGAGCATGTTGAAAGTATGTCTGAATCTGTTTCATTGTTCGCCCAAAATCCCGCTGTACGGGGACAGGCCCGACCTAATTGTAACCCAGGGTACGGGCGTTTGTTCATTCCTCAGTAGGGGGACGCGTCTTGGGGGAGCGGTAACTTTGATGGCAGAGCGAGGGCTGCAGAAAGGGGGCCTAAAAGCGGCGCCCAGGGCCCCCAAGAGGGCCCCCAGGGCCCCAAGAGGGGGCCCCCAGGGCCCGGGAAGGGCACCCTTTTCTCCCCGCCCACCCCATCGATCTCGGGAGGGGAAAAACACACAGACACAATTTGTGTGTATTTATTTGTGTGTCCCAGGGCCCCTTCACGATCGACCCCCCATGAATGTGCGCCCAAGTGTTGTTGATTGTCTCTCGGGGCCCCGTGAGGGCCTCGGGAGGGCTGGGCTGCAGAGGGCCAGGCTCCAGTGTTCGCATGTTGTTTTGGTCCCCACATTTTTGGAGGACGGAGGGGGAGGAGGAGAAGGAGGAGGAGGAGGAGGAGAAGCAATGTTCGCACTGTTGTTTTTCCCACCATTTTGGGATTACCCGGCGCGGCCGCTGCGGCGTCTTCCCAGGCGTGGCCAACGTGGCGCAGTGCTCCGTGCGGGTGCCCTGCGAGGTGTTGAAGCAGGAGATGCAGGCGCGGGTCGGGGGCGCCGGGTCCGCAAGCGCCGCGCGGCCGTTGGGGCTCCGCTGGGCTTGTTGGGGTGTAGTGTTACGTCGGGCATGTCCCTCTACACGGGGAATGTTCAAGAATAGTAAAAACATAGTCTTAGTCTGGTCACGTTTTCTTGATTCTTGTTTTACCTTTTCCCAACCCTCCTTGGTTGGGTATTCGTTTTGAATAGAGCACTGCGGTCTCCAGTTCTCCTCTTCTCCTCCCGCCCGCCTCCTCCTCCCGCCTCCCGTCTCCCGCTTCCGTCTTGCCTCCCCTTGCCTTGCGCGAACCTGGCCATCCCTGGGGGGGCTGCGATCTGCGACACTCTCGCCATTTTCGAGGGCTGTTGGTGGGTCCAGCGGAGTGAGGCACCGCGGGGATCTGAGCGGGACCTCGCCGTCCCTGGGGGGCTGCGATCTGCGACATTGTTGCCACTTTCGAGGGCTGCTGCTGGGTCCAGCGGAGTGAGGCACCACGGGGATCTGAGCGGGACCTCGCCGTCCCTGGGGTGCTGCGATCTGTGACACTGTTGCCACTTTCGAGGGCTGCTGGTGGGTCCTGCGGAATGAGGCACCGCGGGGATCTGAGCAGGACCTCGCCGTCCCTGGGGGGCTGCGATCTGCGACACTTTCGCCGCTTTCGAGGGCTGCTGGCGGGTCCGTCTTGGAGGCCGTCTTGGACCATCTTGGGCGGACTTGGAGGCCATCTTGGGCCATCTTCGCGATTGTTTGAGGATGTCCCGAGAGAAACGGCCGTTTTTGGCGATGGCAACCGGGTCTGCCGGGTGGCCGGCGGGACGGGCCGAAGCCCCAGGGGGAGTTTTTTTGGAACAAGAACCAAAACCAATCACATATAGTTTGGCACGCCAGGCACCCCTTTGATAAATCAAAAGGGGGCGGCAGATCGAAGACGCCTACGGCGAATCACCGCCGCCCCCTGCCTTTTTGGAAGCGCCTATGTGGCCGAACGTTGAGGCCAGACCTGCCAAGCTATCGGACCACGTGTTCCCCGAATCGGTTTGGAAAGCCTTCGGGGAACACGTGGGCATCTTGAAGGTCATCTTGGCCGTCTTGGAGGCCTCTTGGGCAAGCTTTGGGCGATCTTTGGGGCTTTTTGGGCCGTCTCGGGCCAGCTTCGAGCCAACTTCGGCCATCTTGGTGGGTTCCTGGCACGTCTGAAGCCGTCGGAAGCCGTTTGGGGGGCCTCTATGGGCCGACTTGGGGCCCGCTTGGAATGCTCCAGGGCCGTCTTGGAGGCCATCTTGGGCGTCTGGGAGGCCATCTTGGGCGTGTTGGAGGCCTCTTGGGCCCTCTTGGGGCCCTCTAGGGGCCATCTTGGAGGCCACTTGGGCCATCATGGGGCTCTCTTGGGGGCCTCTTGGGCGATCTTGGGGGCTTCTTGGGCCGTCTTGAGCCGTCGGAGAGCCGAAAAGGCGCAAATGCCAAAATCCTTCAAAAACCAAAGGAAAATCAATGATTTTGGCCTCTTCGGACTCTCCTGGAGGACCTCTTGGAGGCCTCTTGGGCCGTCTGGGAGGCCTCTGGGGGGCCTCTTGGGCCGTCTTGGGCCGTCTTGGACTCTCTTGGGCCGTTTTGGAGGCCGTCTTGGACCATCTCGGGCGGACTTGGAGGCCATCTTGGGCCATCTTCGCGATTTTTTGAGGATGTCCCGAGCGAAACGGCCGTTTTTGGGCATTGACAGACGCATTTTGGGAAATTCGCGGGTGGCCGGCGGGACGGGCCGAAGCCCACTGGGGAGTTCTTTTAGAAAAAGAACCAAAACCAAAACCTGAATCATCCAGCACGCCGTGCACCCCTGCAAGCAGGGGGCGGCGGATCTAGTGGCTTTCGGCCCATCCCGCCACCGTCTCTATGTTTCGGAGATTGGTAGACCTACCCTGACACGTCGATCAGCGAATTGGCAGTTTTCGGTTCGCGGGAGGGCGTCACGGCCGTCATTTGTGCGGGCACAGGTCCGTCGGTTTCGGTCCTAGGCCGGTTTCTACAAAGGGAGGTTTATTAAAGGGAGGTGTGTCCACGGCCGAACGTTGCAAGTCACAGGCATTTTGGATGCCTGTGGGGATCTCTTGAACGGCTTTTTCGGCAGACTCTCGGAGACGGTTTTGGAGATGCTGTGCTCTGGTGCCCTTCGGGCCCCCTTGGGCCCTGATGTTTGGGCTTCCTTGGGGGCCTCCACAGACTTCCAGGGGGGGCTCCTTGTGGGCCTGATGCCGGCCTCGGGAGTCACCTTGGAGCGGAGAGCGCGAACTGTCACTTTGAGTTCCCCCTCCCCTGGACCCCATTCGGGCCCTCTCTGGGCCGTGTTGGAGGCCCCTTGGGCCGTCTTGGGCCCCTCTCGACCGCGCTAGCCTGTGTCCTGCCTGCGCTCACCGCCTGCGTCGAGTCAGAAGGGCCTCGGCGGACGAGCACACGCTGGCGCTGACGCGCGTCCTGCGGAGCATCGGGACACGTCTGTTTGCGCACGCTCGGCGCGTGCCGAGCTGCACCTCGGAAGCTCCACCCCCTGCTGCGGCTGTCCGTCTGCCGCCTCCCTCCCTCGCTCCTTCCTGCTCCTGCCGCTGCTGCTCCCCAGGAGCCCCCAAGAGGACGCAGACACGCAATGCTCGAGGGTTTGCGCAGATCGGTTGGGTTGGCGCAGGCCTCACCTTTCGGCGCCCCTCGCGCAGCCCCCAGCGCCGCCCCCAGCGCCCATGGGGAGGGGAGCCCAGGGCAGACCCAACAAGTCCGTGCGGACATCCAATTGGCTCTTGTGTCTGTGATGCTCTGTCCGTCTTCTCTGTCGCTGCCGTTGCCACTTCCCAAACCTCGCGATCCTCGCCTTCGCCCCGCTCCGCCCGTCCTCCCCCGCTGAACCGTCCCTCCCTCCCTCCTCCCTCCTCAATGTCATCGTGCCTCCCCTCCCCCTTGTTCGGCATCACCCAAATCTACTCATACTACAGTGTGTGCCGCCCCCCCAGGAGGACGCGCGCGCTGAGACATCTGATAACACCTTTTCGGTGGCGGGCGTTTTCTGACCATACCGCCTGGGTACTGATACACTGCAAGATGCGTGCACTGTGTGGTCGGTCCGGACGTGCTCCTCCAAGGGGGGCGCAATGTGTCAGCATGAAGTTCTGGTTCGATGGTTCCTCCCAGCCCTTCCTCCTGACCTCCCCGCTCCCCTCCAGGGTCCAGTTCGATCCGATCGATCCGATTCGATGCCGATATTCCAACGATCCGATGCGACCCGATGCTTGCATGGCGCTGTTATGCATGCTGGCGCAGCCGATCCGACTCGCTCTCGATTCCTCGCCGATGCTGCACGATCCAATGCACGTTTCGACTCGATCGGGCTTACCGATTCGATATTGATCGATCGTGTCCCCAAGGCAGAGGCGGGGGAGGAATAGGATGGGAGGAAGAGCAGGAAGAGCAGGAGGCGAAGGCGGAGGAGGAAGAAATTAGGAGAGAAGGAGGAGGAGGAGGAGGAGGAGGAGGAGGAGGAGGAGGAGGAGGAGGGAGGAGGAGGAGGAGGAGGAGGAGGAGGAGGAGGAGGAGGAGCATATGGAGAAGGAGGAGCGAGAGGAGGAGGGAGAAGGCGAGGAGGAGGAGGAGGTGGAGGACGACGACGACGAGGAGCTTATGGAGGTGGAGGAGGAGGAGGAGGAGGAGGAGGAGGAGGTGAGGACGAGGACGAGGACGAGGCCGAGGACGAGGAGGAGGACGAGGAGGAAGGAGGAGGGGAGAAGCAGGGGAGGAGGATAGGAGGAGGAGGAGGGGAGAGGAGGGGAGAGGGCGGAGAGGAGTAGAGGAGAAGGAGGAGGTGAGGAGGAGGACGAGGAGGGGAGCGAGGAGGAGGCTTGAGACGAGGACAAGGGCGGAGGTGGAGAGGAGGGGTCGAGGTGAAGGAGGAGGTAGGAGGAGGGGGTGGACGAAGAGGTGGAGGAGGAGGGAGAGTACGAGCAGAAGGAGAGGAGGAGATGAGGAAGAGGATGAGGAAGAGTGAGGGATGAGGATGAGGAGGAGGAGGAGGATGGGAGGAAAGGGATGTGATGAATGATTGATGATGATATGATGATGATGATGATGAGGTTGATGATGATGTGATGATGATGATGATGAATATGATGTTGGATGGATGATGATGAGATGTTGATGATGATGATGATGATGTGTTGATGTTGATTGATGATGATGAATATGATGATCGATGATGATGATGATGATGATTGAGGATGATGATGATGATGATGATGATGATGGTGGTGGTGATGTTGATGATGCTTATGCTGATGTGATGATGATGATGAGATGATGTTGATGATGGCATGATGTTGATGATGTTGTTAGTTTGATGATGATGATGATGTTATGATTATGTTTATTATGAGGAAGAGGGAGGGAGGAAGACGGGAAGAGGAGGAGGATTGAGGATGAGGAGGTGGAGTGAGGTCGAGGGACGAGGAGGAGGAGGAGGACGAGGAGGAGGAGGAGGAGGAGGAGGAGGACGGGGAGGCCCGTCCCGCCCGCGAGGCCCGCGGGTGCCGCCACGGAGGCCAGGCGGTCTCCCTCGCGGAGACGGCCCGAAGAGTAGGCGCGCCTTGCGCCCCGGCTGCGGGTGGGTGGGGGGGCACGGCGGAGGGCCGGGCGAAATCGAAGTCGGGTGCCCCCAAACGGTGCGATGACCACACTCATCAGAGGAAAAAGGGACCCATACCTCTACCTTCCCTCGTGTTCCCCCTTTTTGGGGCCTCCTGAGAAGCCCTCGTCGCCACCGCTGGATTCGCCTCGAAATCCTTGTCAGAACGCACCCCGTGAGAGGTCCAGGGAGTTCCCCAAGGTCGGGTGCCCCCAACCGGTGTGGCGACCACACTCAAGCAGTGGCGGAGCGTCCTGACTCGCCTTTGAGCCCACCAAAGAATGTTGTAAGAACTCGTTTGTGGCCTGCACGAAATGATCTTAGAACGTTTCTGGTTGAGACTATCTCGTTCTCAGCACATCGGGTTGATGTCACAAGAACATTGTTTATGTTCTTAGAACATGTTGGGGTTCTAAGAGAATTTCGTGGTCGGCCTATAGGAATGCTGGGACGGTCGGTCCCTGCTCAACACACCGCGTTGGGCCCTTTTGTTCGACTCCCTGGCGATAACGGCTGTTACTGGGGGGAGAATTCATCGTTAGTTCTAACGGCTGGTTTTGGCCCGTGGGCCCGGGCCGCGTTCTCGCCCTCTTGTCCATTCCCCGCTCGCCTCCGAGAGTACGCAGCCATTTAAGCCTCCGGTGGGGCCAAACGTGTGAGGAATGCGCCGACATGGGTGCGGTGAGCGCATGCGAGCGCAGCCATTGGGGCCTTCTGTGGAGCTCCCCGTGGTGCCACCAAAGGTTTGAGGGGTATGCCGAACTGAGCACGGTGGCGCATGCGAACGCAGCCACTGGGGCTGTCGGTGGAGCTCCCTATGGGGCCACCAAACGTGTGAGGGGTCTGCCGAAATGGGTGGGGTGGGCGCATTCGAACGCAGCGACAGGAGCCTTACGTGGGGTTGCCTATGGGGCCGCGAACCGTGTGAGGGGGTGTGCCGAAATTGGCGCGGTGAGCCCATGCGAACGCAGCCAATTGGGGGTGGGAACGTGTGAACGCAGCCACAGGAGCCTTAGGCGGAGCTGCCTATGGGGTGTGTGCATGCGAACGCAGCCACTGGGGCTGTCGGTGGAGCTCCCTATGGGGCCACCAAACGTGTGAGGGGTCTGCCGAAATGGGTGGGGTGGGCGCATTCGAACGCAGCGACAGGAGCCTTACGTGGGGTTGCCTATGGGGCCGCGAACCGTGTGAGGGGGTGTGCCGAAATTGGCGCGGTGAGCCCATGCGAACGCAGCCAATTGGGGGTGGGAACGTGTGAACGCAGCCACAGGAGCCTTAGGCGGAGCTGCCTATGGGGTGTGTGCATGCGAACGCAGCGACCGGGGCCTTCGGTGGAGCTCTCTATGGGCCGACACGTGTGCGGTGGGCGCATGCGATCGCAACCACTGAGGCCTTCGGTGGAGCTCCCTATGGGGCCTCGAAGCGGGTGATGGGTGTCAAAATTGGTGCGGTGGGCACATGCGAACGCCACCACTTGAGTCTTCGTTGGAGCTGTCCATGGGGCCATAAAACGTGTAAGGGGTGTGCCGACATGGGTGCGGTTGGCCCGTGAGAGCGCATCCTTTGGGGCACACGGTGGCGCTTTCTATGGGGCCTCGAAGTAAGAGCGTGTGAGAGGTGTGCCGGAACGATGATAACGGTGATGATGGTGGCGACGAAGACACGCGGAGGACAGAAGCGGGGACGGGACGAGGAGGGGCAGGAGGAGAGGAAGCAGACGCAGGGCGCTGTCTCTTCAAAACGGAGAGCCAACAACACAGGATAATTGAACACATACAAAAACAAAACCAACCAAACACATTGATTGTCAGTTGTTGTTCCTGGGCGTGGGGGGGAACAGAAAAAGGAGGAGGAAAAGGGAGAAGGAGGAGGAGGAGGAGGAACTCCTCGTCATCCTCCCCGATACAACCAAGCAAACCGATAATTTTGAGTTGTTCCCAACCATCCTGTGGTGTTGGGTCCTCGTTTTGAAGAGACAGCGCCCCGCGTTCACTCCTTCCTTCCTCCCTCTGCCCCCTCCTCCCTCCTCCCCCTCCGCGTCAGCCACACCCATTTCGGCACACCCCTCACACGGTTCGTGGCCCCATAGGGAGCCCCACCGAGGGCCCCAATGGCTGCGTCCGCATGGCGGCACCACACCCATTTCGGCACACCCCTCACACGTTTCGTGGCCCCATAGGGAGCTCCACCGAGGACCCCAGTGGCTGCGTCCGCATGGCGGCACCGCACCCATTTCGGCACACCCCTCACACGTTTCGTGGCCCCATAGGGAGCTCCACCGAGGGCCCCAGTGGCTGCGTCCGCATGGCGGCACCGCACCCATTGCGGCACACCCCTCACACGTTCGTGGCCCCATAGGGAGCTCCACCGAGGGCCCCACCGCACCCATGGTTTCTGGCGGGAGTTCCAGCGAGGGCCCCAGTGGCTGCGTCATGGCGGCACCGCACCCATTTCGGCACACCCCTCACACGTTTCGTGGCCCCATAGGGAGCTCCACCGAGGGCCACCCCTCAGTGGCTGCGTTGCGCATGCCTCCCCGCACCCATTTCGGCACCCCCTCACACGTTTCGTGGCCCCATAGGGAGCTCCACCGAAGGCCCCAGTGGCTGCGTTGGCGCAGGCCACCCCTCACAAGAGCTCCCCGAGGGCCCCATGGCTGCGTTGCGGCCGCACCCATTTCGGCACACCCCTCACACGTTTCGTGGCCCCATAGGAGCTCCACCGAGGGCCATGTCATTTCGGCACACCCCTCACACTTTCGTGGGGAGCTCCACCGTGGCTGCGCATGGCGGTACCGCCCCATTCGGCACACCGGCACACCTCACACGTTTCGTGGCCCCATAGGGAGCTCCACCGAGGCCCCAGTGGCTGCGTTGGCATGGCAGCACCGCACCCATGTCGAAACACCCCCCCTCACACGTTGCGTGGCCCCATAGGGAGCTCCACCGAGAGCCCCAGTGGCTGCGTTGACATGGCGGCACCGCACCCATTCCGGCACACCCCTCACACGTTTCGTGGCCCCATAGGGAGCTCCACCGAGGTGCCCAGTGGCTGCGTTGACATGGCGGCACCGCACCCATTCCGGCACACCCCTCACACGTTTCGTGGGCCCGTAGAGAGCTCCACCGAGGGCCCCAGTGGCTGCGTTGGCATGGCGGCACCGCACCCATTTCGGCACACCCTCACACGTTTCGTGGCCCCATAGGGAGCTCCACCGAGAGCCCCAGTGGCTGCGTTCGCATGGCGGCACCGCACCCATTTCGGCACACCCCTCACACGTTTCGCCGCCGAGGGCCCAGGACAGCGCTTCGTTGCCCCATAGGGAGCTCCACCGAAGGCCCCAGTGCTACCGCCCGCATGCGTCCCGTACGCCCAGGACAGCGCTTCGTGGCTCCATAGGGAGCTCCACCAAAGGCCCCAGTGCTACCGCCCGCATGCGTCCCGTACGCCCAGGACAGCGTTTCGTGGCACGCCTTTCGTGGCCCCATAGGGAGCCCCACCGAAAGCGGTACCCACAAAGCGTTATTCACAATTGCATATGGTTGGGTCCTTCGCCAGGATAATTGTTGCTCGGGGCGGGAAGAAAAAATGAGGAGGAGGAACAGGTGGAGAGAGAAGGAGGAGGAGGACCTCCCGTTCATCCCCCCAAAATGCCTAAAAGGCTGTTCCTGTGTTTCGCTTCGGGGAATGAGAGAGAAGGAGCAGAAGCAGGAGAGAGAAGGAAAAGGAGGAGAAGGAGGAGAAGGAGGAGAGAGAAGGAGAAGGAGGAGAAGGAGGACACGTAAGAGGAAGGGGAGGAGGAGAAGGACGAGGAGGAGGAAGGATGCGACTTTTGTTTTAACGGAAACAGTTCGAAAACAGCATCCGAAAGGCAAGCGCAAGCGGCGCCACGATGTCCCATGCTCGAGAGAAAGGAGGCATGGTAGGATCACGATGATGGTGTTGATGACCAGTCGTGATGAGGAGGAGGACGGTGAGAAATACAAAGACGAAGGAGGAGAAAGGCTCCTGCGAAGTAATCGACAAAGAACCCCTCCACCTGGTGCCCACCCCCACACCCCAACCAGACGAACATATCACGCTTCCGGAACAGGGACCAGGGCGGCTCCGTCGTCTGTTTCCGACATGTTCGCGAATTTAGATGAACAAGCATTGACGCTAACTGACGCTAGCTGACGTTCGATCGACGCTACATCTGCGCTGTCCCATCGATTACCAGACGCGAATCGACGCCAATTCACTCTGGCCACGGAACCACGAAGGTATACAAGGTTCCCATGGTTTGCTTCCGAACGAGTCCCACCAGACTCCCACGCTTTTTTGGGCGAAGGACCCAACCAGATGCAGTTGTGAGTGCCGCGTTGTGCCACCGCTTTCGCTTGAGCTCCCCATGGGGCCACGAAGCGTGTGAGAGGTGTGCCGACATGAGTGCGGTGGGCCCATGCGCACGCAGACATTGGGGCTCACGGTGGAGCTCTTTGGGGCCACGGAGCGTGTGAGGAGTGCGCTGAAATTGAGTGCGGAACCGCATGCGAACGCAGCCATTGGGGCCTTCGGTGGAGCTCTCCACGGGGCCACGAAGTGTACGAGGTGTGCCCTTCGCTAGAGCTCTTTATGGGGCCACGATGCGTGTGATTAGTGTGCGGAAATGGACGGTGGAACCGCATGCGAACGTAGCCATTGGAGCCTTCAGTGCAGCTCCCTATGGGGCCACCAAATGTGTGAGGGGTCTGCCGAAATGGACGGTGCAATCGCATGCGAACGCAGCCAATTGGGGCCTTCGGTGGAGCTCCCAATGGGGCCACGAAGCGTGTGAGGGGCGCGCCGAGATGGGGGGTGGAACTGCATGCAAAGAGGTCATTGGGGCCTTAGGTGGAGCTCGGTATGGAGCAACGAGACGTGCGAATGTCACGCCGAAGTTGGCTCGCGGAGAGCGGAGGCAGGGATGGGAGGAGGGGCAGCGGGAGGAGGAGGAGGATATTGAGGAGGTGGGACCAGGTCGTTGTTTCTTCAAAACGAGGGCCCACCACCGCAGGATGGCTGGGAATGATTTCCACTTGTCCGCCGTCGGGGGCGCCAGTCCCAGGGCAGCTGGAAAGTCGATACCCCCACCTGCACCGTCGGAGTATAAAATTTCCAGTCCCCCTGGGACAGGCGCGGGGTGGGTCGCGGGTGGGTCGCGAGGTGAGTCGCGGGGAGGGTCGCGGATAGGTCGCGGGCCCCGTCGCGGGTGGGTCGCGGGTGGGTCGCGCGCGGGTAGGCCGCAGGTGGCCCGCGGGTGGGCCGCGGGTGGGCCGCGGGTGGGTCGCGGGTGGGTCGCGGGGGGAACGACAACAACAACATAACGCAACAGCAGCAGCAGCAACAACGACAACAACAACAACAACATAGCAAGAATCCGCTCCGCGGAGTCCCACTTCAGCCACGCACCCAGGGACAGTGAATGACCGCTCGGCCCCCTCACTCTGATAAACTTCCCAGCCGCCACGGGACAGGCGTCCCCGCTTGCGGAAGAGCTCCTTTGAAGCCGGTCTGCGCTTCTAAGCAATTGCCTTGGCATCGCTCGAACGTGTGCAATTTTCCTTCGGCGAGGACCATCGAGGAGCATCCTTGATCATTTGGCGAAAAAACCACGCACGAAACCGAAAAAAAAACACAGGGAATGGACGTCCGAGCGATGGCCAGTTGCCACCACGCGCAGCATAAGTGGAAACTCCTGGGGGTGCGCTCGCGAGCGGAAGGCGTTCCACGACACCGCTGCATCACGTTTCGGGCGAAGGCCCGCACACCCCTTGGGTGGACATCACGGCTGGCTTGCGCCGCGTTGGCGCGGCGGCGACGCCGGCTCGGGCGTTCGAGCTCGAACGCGGCCGGCCGCCCAGAACCGGCCGCTGTCGAGCGATCTGCGGCATCGGGAAGCCGGTATCGTTCAAGGGGCGGAACGAGCCATTCGGCGTCAGAAACCAACGCCCGCGACATCGCGGCGCGGACCAGCCGTACACGTGCGGCTCGCGCCTTGCATTCCCCGGATGCTCTGCGCGGTTCCCGCCTCTTCGTGTTTTTTCCCCAGATTCCTCCGCTGTTCCTCAATTCGTTCCAGGCGTGTGCCGCCCGCAGCCCGACCGGCGCTTGCACCAGTCCATATTCGATTGCGCCCGCTGATCTAAACATGTACGGCTCCCATGCAGGAAGCTATAAGGTGCCGATGCCGCTGCTCCCCGGACCTCTCCGGGCTGCGTTCCCCAGATCATTGGATCCATATGTTGTTCGGTTCCGATCGGTAGCGACCGATCGGTATTCCAAATCGGTCGCGACCCACCGCGACCGATCCAAAAATCTGTCGCGACTGGCCGCCACCGATCGCGACCGACTCCAAGAATTGAAGCAACATCGGTCGCAACCGTTCTCGTCGGCCGCGACTGGGAAATTCCAGCAGCCAATGATCAGGGTCCGAGAGCCATATCGAAGCAAATCCAGCGGTGGCGACGAGAGCCACCAAGGGTGGCGGTATGGGCACCCTCTCCTTCTCCGATCGCGCTCGGAGGCCGTGGGCACGTCCGTGGAGGCCTCGCCGCGAGCGCGCGCGGCAGCGTCCGCCGAGCCGCCGCGGACAGCATCAACGGCATCGACGACGACGACGACGACGACGACGACGACGACGACGACGACGACGACGACGGCGAGCGGGGGCAGCGGCGAGCGGCGGCGGCGGGCGCCGTGCCCTCGGGATCTCGAGGCCTCGGCGGGCCGCGGGGGTTCTTCGTCGGCGCGGGCGCCACCGTCAGCCGCGAGCTGGCCTTCGCCGTGGTGCAGATGCCGGTCTTCGAGGACGCTTCGGGTAGGAGCAAGTCGTGCCTGCCCCCCTACAGGAGGAATATTCAAAAATAGGTAAAAAACAAAAAAAAAAAAAAAAAAAAAAAGTATGGGGACAATTTTTGGGGGGGGGGATTTGGGGGGATATTTCTGGGGTATCTTTAATTCCAGAATCCCCCTGTAGGGGGACAGGCCCCCGACCTAAGGGCAGGATCGGGCGGGCGGTAATGGTGGGCGACTGGCGTGCAGGAGCGGAAGAAGGACGCACGCGTGCATGAATCCACGCCCGGTTCGAACGTACGCGTTGCGCGATGGCACGAGGCGTCTCGCGGTCTGGGGGGGCCGTATGCATGTACGCGGTAAGGGCGCGTACGTCCTTTTTGTGGGTTTCCTATGAATTTGGGGTGGAGGAAAGGGTCCTGAAGGGAGCCTTTGAGGTCCATGTTGGGACCCTGCTGGCTCCCAAAGGGGCCCTGGAGGGCCGTAGGGCCCTTTTCCTCACCCCCTATATATGCCCCCCCCCTCCCATGACCACCCGCCCCAGAGTAGGAGATCGACTACAGATGTGATGTGCCCCATAACTGGTATGTTTCGCCGACTCCACAAAAAGTGCGTAGAATGTTCTTAGATCTACAACTGCAGTGCACAGAGTTCTCATATATTCGACGTACAACAATTCTGGGGTAAATCAATTAACTCTGCAGTCGATATCCTACTCGAACATTTTGGGGGGGATCGGTTCAAGGGTAGACTCGACATCGCGTAAGGATGACACTTCGCCGGAGTGACCTTTGGTGCGGTCCCTCAGGGGTCCCCCGATCGCCGATCGCGGTGCGATAGTAGCGTCTTGCGCGCTCGTGATCGGTCCCCCCCGCGGCGCCCCAAAAGCCGCGCGCCAAAGGTCACTCTTGCCAAGGGTCACACCTGCCGATAGACGAAATGTTGAGGTTCGAGGTTCGGGGCATTTGCACGGGCAGTGAGAAGGAGAAGGCCTTCTCAGAAGGTTCAGAAGTCCCCCGGCCTTCTGAGAAGTTTCCTGAGCCTTCCCCGCAGGCACGGAACAATTCACAGAAGGCGCGAGGGTGCTTCTGAGCAGTCCCGCCGCCTCCTGAGAAGGCCTTCTCTTTCTCGCTTCCCCCCCCTCGCTCGCCGCCGAGTTTATTACACAAGAATTTCGTGGTAGGCCTCGTGGTGGCAACAGCAATGCAGTTGGTCCCTCCTGAATGGGGGCGCGCGCGCCGGGGCGCGCCGCCGCCAGCTGGGGGCTTCTCCTGGGTGGCAGTTGGGTCTCCACTGTCGTGGAAAAATCCAGACGGGCAGTGCTCGGGGCAAAGGGCCGAAGGGCCTCGGAGCAGGTTCGCTCGCCTTGCCGTTTGAACGCGGCAGCGGCGGCGACCACAAGGTTTGGCCGCGGCTGTCAAGCCCGAGAGGGCGGACAGCCGACCCGGCGTTGACCGGGCAGGCTGATGCAAGGGCACGGCCCCGTCTTCGGGGTTTCTGGATTGCTTCAAGAGGTGGGCCTGTCGATGCCTGGCGCTGTGTTCCGCAGACGGGCAGTTGCTCTCCGGGGTCGGCCTCATCGGGCCCCCGCGGGGCCCTGGGGCGCTGAAAAGACGACTTGGGATGACAAGGCCGCGTGGCCTTGGCGACGCCAGCCCGCTCGCTGTTGCGCAGGGCTGCGGCATAGGATGGGGCTCCCAGGCGCTTCCCGAGCGCTCCCGGGCGCTGACCAGCGCTCCCGCTCCCAGGAGCTCCCCGGCGCTCCCCCGCGCTCCGAGGCGCCCCTTGGCGCTCCCCGGCGCTCCCAAGAGCACCCAAGCGCTTCGGGAAAGGGTCGGGACGTCCGGGGGCCCCGCAGGGGAAAGAGCAGGACCTCGGATCTCCGGGAGCGGGTCCTCATGGCGCCGCTGGCGTCTCCTCCCCGGGCTTTCCACGGGCCCCGCGGGAACCGCCAAAGGGGGGCTCCGGATGCGGAAGGCTCCTGCAGTCTAGGGCCCATACCTTTCAGCACCCGTGTCTTCCGTGGCAACCCCTGCTCGTTGGATACTGGAGTTTTCCAGCCGCGGCCGACGAGCTCGGTCGCTACCGATGTTGCTTTAGATTTCGATATCGGTCGCGACCAGTTTGCTTCAAAATCGGTCGCAACCAATCGGGCGCGAGCGATCGGTCGCGATCGGTGGCGGTTAGTCGCGACCGATTCTGGGATCGGTCGCGGTCGGTCGCGACCGATTTGGAGTGCCGATCGACCGCTGCCGATCGCGACCGAAAGAATATCGGTATCCAGTGATGATCAGGGACTGGGGCACCCTGGCGGCCCCGGAATGTTTTTCAAAACGCACCACTAGACGGGTCCGGGGGTCGATTGTTGACCCAGGAGAGATGAAGGGTTTGGTTCGAGAAGACGACCACCACACCCGCGACTTCGTGGCTGAGGTTCCCTCTGAGAGCTCGGCGCCGCAATTTTCCGACGCTGGAAGCGCGATCTCGCATGCTGCGGTCTGGGGGGTGCATCACTGGTGTCGCAGATGGAAGTGCCGCAGATGGACTGGGTCGAGGACGCCCGCTGTGATTTCTCACGACGTGGCAATTTTCTTCAGGAGGTTGTTTTGTTGTAGACTCCGGCAAGTTCACTTGCATGTCCCCCCCATCCCCGCCGCCTTCTCACGCAGCGCTGGGCCGAACACGCGTGCAACGGAGTCCCGACTTGCGTGGGTCCAGACGTCGTTTCAGGCCTCGCCATGTCCCACCCCGTCTATGCAAGTAAGCTTGCCCGAATACACAGTGGAGGCCCATGCCAAGAAACACCCTCCAGGCTGCCCTGGGTTTCTTGGGTTTCGATAGTTTTGCTATGGAGAGCGTGACGACGTTTCCCACATCAGAAATCAATGGACGTCCTAGGGTCTCAGAGTTGGGTGTCTTGTGGAAGGTTCCTTGTGGACTAGCCTCCGCTGCAAGCTTGTCCTAACACATCTATATACATATATAGATATGTATATACATCGATGCATATATACATACTCATACATACACTTACTTCTACACATAGAAGAAAAAGGGATGCCTCTCGCGATGTCCCACGACGCTGTCACTTCCTCTTGGGCCACCCGTGGGGGCGCGAAGACCATCGCACTCCGCGCGTCGCTGCCTGGGCTGGGGCCGCTGTCCTTCCCCCGGGTGGCGGCGCGGGGGTCGCAGGTGTTCGCCCAATCTCAGGAGGGAAAGATCTACACAGACACAAGTAATCGTCGATCCCCCAGAAAGCATGGGAACATGTGGGAAGTGAGGGGAAGACGAACATCCAAAAACTATGGAGAAATATGGGGAATGCTTTTATTTGTGTGTATTTATGTGTGTGTGTGTGTCCCAGGGCCCCTTTACAATCTTGGGTCGCGGTGCGCGAAGTCAGTTGACCCTTCTTTCTCGGCGTCGTCGGATCTCGGGGGGAGGGGGGGAGCTGGGTCTCTTCGGAAGGTCGTCTTAACATTCGGCGGCGAGCGAGGGAGGAGGGAATGAGAAGGAGAAGGCCTTTTTCAGAAGGCTCGGAAGGCCCCCAGCCTTCTGAGAAGTTGTCTGAGCTTTCCCCGGAGACACAGAAAACTTCTCAGAAAGGCCGGGGGGCTTCTGAGGAGTCCCGCTGCCTTCTGAGAAGGTTTTCTCCTTCTCATGTTCCCCCCCTCGCTCGCCGCCAAAACTACATATTACACCTGTTTGCACCTTTATAGAGGCTACAAAATGTGGTTAAAAGGCGAGTACATGTGACTAATGGCCGCTAATGATACACTAAAGGCCCCTAAAGGGCCACTAAAGGCTACACGCCCGAGGCGGTCTATGTTGGAATGCTCTCCCAAAAAGACTCACGTAAGGGAGGAAGTGGCGCATTTCTGCATCCTGGATGCCATCTTCGCCGTCAGCCAGCCGCGGCTCGACGGATTGGCTTGGCCGGCCCGTCCCGTGAGGAGTCTGGCGGCCGCGCCGCCCGGCGCGCGGTTCGCGGTCTTTGGGCCGGTGTCCGCCTTTGTTGGGGCATGTGCGACGCAGTCAGTAAGGACTGCGATATCGCGTGGGAGTGGCTGCAGCGGGACCCCATGCCAAGAAGCACTCTGCTCGCCTCCAGGGTGCCCTGGGTCTCTTGGGTTTCGACGGTCTTGCGATGGAGAGCGTGACGTTCCCACACCAAAATTCAGTGGACGCCCTGGGGTCTCAGGGTTGGGTTTCTTGTGGAAGGTTCCTTGCGGTCGGGCTGCTACTGTCTGTGCTTGTGCGCTGCTTGTGCTCCGCATTCTGCTTGCTTGCTTGCGAGGCTCCTTGTCACCACGGCCGGGGTCCCCTCAGCAGACCTTCGTCAAGACGCGCCTCTGGAGGGCTCCGCGACCAGGGGTTTCCGAGGGGGAGGAAGAGGGGGCGCCGGGTCGGGCAGGGGTCTTGGAGAAGGATCTCTGGAGCTTGTTGATTCCACTGTCGCGTTCCCAGGACGCTTCCGAGGCCCCCCGACCGTCCAAGGACAATTCTGGTTATGTTGCTCCCATCGTACTTGAGGACCACGTTCAAGAAATGATTGCGAGCACCCAGAAAAGTACCGAACAGTGTCGAACGAGTGTCGCCTCTCAGGGTCCGAGACGTGAGAACCCTCCAGCTTCGGTACTTTCTTGGTGCTCGAAATTCGAAACGCTTCGCGTATCCCCACGAGTTTGCCTCCCCCCTATCCGGTTGCCGGTCGGTACTCCACCTGCGGGTCCGGCCTGGTTTCCACCTGCCCCGTTGTGGCCGCCCTCTTCTGCTGGCACACGCTCAGCGGCTTTTGCCTGGGTCTGCGTGCCTTCGGCAGGGCTACGGTTCGGCCCCACCTGCGGGTTGGCCTGTGCTCGTTGGTTGCCCAATTGTGGCCGCCTCTCTTTCTAATTTGTTTGCAGGTGCACTCTGCGCGGTCTCGCGCCAATTATCTGTCGCTGTGCCCCAGCCTCGGTCGTACCGCCCTCTGGACTTCTCCTTGCGGGCCGCGAATCAAAAAAGTATCCCCACGAGTGCTCGCTTCGCTTGACTTTCTTTTCTTGCTGCCTAGTCGCGGCCCGACTGGTGTTCGGACGGCGTTCGACCCGCCTCGTGAGCCTGTTGACCAAACGTATCCCCACCAGCCCATCCAGAAACGATGTGCAGGCGAGTCGAGGTGATCAGGGAAGTGCGGTAGCAAAGCGGGGGACGGCCGAACCGCGCAAAGGAGTGAGGAGGAGAAGGAGGAGGTGGATGGATGGATGGATGAGGGAGTGGGAAGAAGGAGGATGAGTAGGATGAGGAGAGGCGGAGGAGGAGGAGGAGGAGGAGGAGGAGGAAGAGAAGGAGTGGGTGGAGGAAGGAATAACAGGTGGAGGAGGAGGAGGGCAAGCACAAGGGACAGATGTCTCTTGGATGCCTCTCGGAGCCTCTTGGGGTATCTCTTGGGCGATTATTGGTGGCCTCTTGGGACGTCTTGGGGGTCTGTTCGCGATCCTGGGGGGCTCTTCGGGGTTTTGGGTGTTTCCGGGGAGCCTCTTGGGGCCGCTTGGGATCCTTTGGGGGGCCTCTTGGGGGTTTCTTGGGGCCATCTCGGGGCCATCTTGGGACCTATTGGGGCCTTTTGGGCGTTTCTTGGGGCCATCTTGGAGGAGATCGGTCAAACAACAGGGGTGGGGTCACAATTCGCGTCCCCCCCCCAAGAGGCCAACATGGGGCCCAAACCCTAGTAAAACCAATGAGTTTGGTTTCCTCGCCGATGCCGTTTTGGACGCCCTGGCACCTCGCGACCCCCCCCCCCCTCCAGGTCCAGGGGAGGGTCAAATTACCCCCTCCCCGCCCGCAAGCCGTTTAACTCACTCCCACCCGCCCTCCCAACACATACGTAACACCCGCCGCCGCCGCCGCAGCCGCCGCCGCCGCCGCCGCCGCCAAGTGTACTCTGTATTGTTTTTTGACAGGGATGGTGGGGGGGGCGCATCGGGCTGGCTGCGCATATTCCGAATTTGGAGGCAGAGTGTGTTTTGCATTGTTTGTTTACCAGGGATGGCGGGGGGGTGTCGGCATGGATTCGGGTTGGCCCCCAGTGGCTGGGGGAAAGGGGTGTTTATTAATAGGGAACAGTGATCAAGACCCCCCCCCGCCCGCAAGCCGTCTCGCTCACCCCCACCCGCCCTCCCAACACATACGTAGCACCCGAGCCTGGCCCGAACCTCAGCATATTCAGCAGTCGTCTTTGGATGGACAGCTACTGGGGGCCAATCTGCCGCCACCGCCGCCGCCGCAGCCACCCCCGCCGCCGCCCCCGCCGCAGCCGCCGCCGCCGCCGCCGCAGCCGCCGCAGCCGCCGCCACCGCCGCCGCAGCCGCCGCAGCCGCCGTCGCCGCCAAGTGTATTACTTTGTATTGTTTTTTGACAGGGATGGTGCGGGGGGGGGGGGGGCGCATCGGGTTGGCTGCGCATGTTCCGAATTTGGAGGCATAATGTGTTTTGTAGTGTTTTTTACACGGGATGGTGGGGGGGGGTCGTCATGGTCCCTGGTGTTCACTAATAGGGAACAGTGGTAAACCCCTCCCCGAAGGGGAAGAAGGAGGGTTGGAAGAGGAAACGCCTTAAACCACCGACGCCCAGATGGCTGGTGGGACTCTTTCTGATGATCGAGGCTAAAGTGGGTTGGAACATCATGAAACTCGGGATGAAACATTAGTGAAATTGTCTTGAGATCGATGGGAGCCCACGCCATCAAACAAATGCGATGTCGGAGGAGGGGTCCATCCTCTCTCGTCCATGCCTCTGCCCTACCTCCCTGGCCTCCTCCCTTCCTCTTCCTTCCCTGCTCTCCTTTCCTCTGCTCCGGGGTCCAGGGCCCGTTTCCACCAGGACCCCTTTTTTCCCTCGAAGCAAAAGACCCCCCCCCCATTCGCGGCACTAGCTACAGAATCTGGGTATGTTCTACTCCCCTCTCTCCCCTGATCTTGTCCCAGCACTCTCCTGCCTCTCCTGCGTCTTGGTGTTTGCACCAGATTTCACGAATTTGGTGTTTCCTGCCAGCTTTGTTCCATTCGGAGCGTTCCAGATCCTGCAGAGATCATGCTCCCGCTGTAGCAGTGGCCACGCTGTTCCGCAGCGGTGATTTGGCGCCACCGTTCTCGTCGTTCAGAATGGTGGTCTCGCTCCAGCGGGGACCACACGTCTGGATCCGATCCCTTTCTCTCGCCGGTTCCACCCCCTCGTGTCCCCTGCTCCGCCGCCGTTGCTGATCCTCCTGCTCCTCCTTCTCCTCATACTCCTCCTGCTCCTGCTGCAGCTGCTCTTGATCCTCCTCCTCTTCCTTCCTCATCCTCCTTCTCTTCCTCATGCTCATCCTCCTGCGCATCCGCCACCACCTCCAATGCACACGCAGCCCTACATTTCCTGACTGCGCTCTGGGTGCGAGGGGGCGCGCTCTTGGACGCCCATGGGGTTGACCAGAGGCTTCCGTCAGCTGCGTTCCAACGGGGCTCGGGTACAGAACAAGGCACGACGTCGGATGTCTGGGCACGCGCCCTGGATCTACGGAGCTTCGTTCGACTCCGATGCGGAGGCCCTCGCACAAGAGGGGCCGACGCAGGAGGTCGCGGCACTCGGTGCAGCTCTCGCGTCCGTGAGCTGTTGCCCAGCCCCCCCCCCCCCCAGGAGCTGAAGCGGCTGCACCCCTGGCGCGAGGACGGCGGCGTGGGGAGGCGCCTCGGGGGGGGGGGCCGCCGACGGCGGCGGTCGCCGCCGTGACCAGGGCCCTCGAGGCCCTGCGGACGAGGGCTCAGTCGTCGGCGCTGGTCGCCTCCAGAGGGCGCGTGGCGGCCTGACTCGGCGGCGAGCGAGGGGTGGAAGTGAGAAGGAGAAGGCCTTCCCATTCCCCTTTCCCTCCCTCTCTTTCCCCGTCACTCTCCCCCCCCCTCTCCTCTCCTGCCCCCCCCGTCCCAGGCACGCACGTGCGCGCAGTGTCCTGGCATCATTTGTGTACTTTGAAGAACTGGCCATGTGCGATTTGTCTTCGTATTATTGTTATGATTATTATTGTTTTTCTTCTTCTTCTTCTTCTTCTTCTTATTCCTCTCCCTCTTCTTCAGTAGCGAGCGATCTCGTCGGTCGCGACTGGACAAATCTGGCATCCACTGGTCAGAGCTCTGGAGGCCCTACAGGGCTCCCGGGCCTCGTGCCGGAGCGCTCCGGGAGGCCGCCTGGTCCACTGGAGCCCACGCCAGCACCTCGGGCCAAGGACGCCTTTGGCCACCCCTCGGCGCTGGGGCTGTTTACAGACCTTCTGGGCCTCCGAGCTTCACCTCGTCGGCGAGCGATGGGGGGGAAGTGAAAAGGAGAAGGCCATCTCAGAAGGCGGCTGGACTTCTCAGAAGCACCCTCGATTCTTCTGAGAGGTTTGCTGTGTTGCCGGGGAAGGGTTTTAAGAATTTCTTAGAAGGCCGGGGGGGCTTCCGAACTTTCTGATAAGGCCCGCCCCCCTCATTTTTCCCCTCTGGGCTCGCCGCCGAATGGCCCGACCACTTGTCTACCATGTGGTATCGCCCAACCGATGCCCATCCCCACTGGGCCACGGCATCTCAGCCCCACCATCCCACCCCACAGTTGGGGTTGGGCCACGCGACGCCCGAAGAGAGCAGCGTATATCCCCAGTTACGGGGGCAATTCGGCCAGTGTGGCGCCAAGGCCACGCAAGCGGGATGGAGATCGGTCAAACGATGCTCAACTATGTGTGTGTTTATGTGTTTGTTTGTGTGTGTGGTTATGTGTGTGTTTATGTGTGTGTTTATGTGTGTGTGTGTGTGTGTGTTTGTGTGTTTATGTGTGTGTTTATGTGTGTGTTTATGTGTGTGTTTATGTGTGTGTTTGTGTGTGTATGTGTGTGTGTTTATGCGTGTGCTTATGTGTGTGTTTATGTGTGTATATGTTTGTGCGTGTGTTTATGTGTGTGTGTGTTTATGTGTGTGTGTTTGTGTGTGTTTATGTGTGTGTGTGTGTTTGTGTGTGTTTATGTGTGTGTGTGTTTGTGTGTATGTTTGTGTGTGTTTATGTGTGTGTGTGTGTGTTTGTGCGTCGGCACCCCAGGGGCGACGCGCGGTCCGAAATCTTACACTGCATGCTCGGTGGTGAGCGTTTTCTGGGTATGTACCGCCTGGGTAGCGATTCACTGGAAGATGGTTGTACGACGTTATCGTCTCGGACGTGCGCTTCCAAAGGGGGCGCGTATTACAACCACCCCCTGGATGAAAAAAATGTGATCGGCTCTTCACGTGGGAACCACACCGTGGATCGTCGGTCCTCGATCGCGGACCGACAAGTGCCGATGCGGAAGTCTCAAACGACATCGTGCTTTTTTCTGCGGCATGGCATAGGACCAGATGCATGGCCCTGTGCGACTCGCACACTGAATAGGAATTATTTGGCGGCGCGACTTGGGGCCCTGAACTTGGATGGCAGGACGTGCCCACCGAAGTCGCCACGTCCCGGCGGCGTGGAGAGCGACCGCAGCTGTCGTGAGCAAGTCCCAGGCGACTTCGTTTCGCCTCGCCAGATGTGAGTACAACTCCGGTCGTCTTGGACGGCAGGAGTGTTTCTTTTGTGTTGGAGTCGCAGCCAGAGTGCAGTCTCCCCACCCAGGCCCCCCTTGGCATTCGCAGCTGTTCACCACCCACCAAGGCACCCCAACCCAACCCGAAGGCCCAAGTTTGCCCTCCACTCCCAGTGGGGGACGGGCGTCGAGGAGCGTTGAGAAGACACGTGTGGAACCCGTACCCCCCCCAAACCCGAGATTTGAGTCTTCCGGTTGGGTTGGGGTGGTTTGGTAGGTAGCCTTAAGTCGGGCCTGTCCCTCTACAGGGGGAATTTTCAAAAATAGTGAAAAAATGATCTGGGGACTATTTTTTGAGTTTTTTGGTGCATCTTGTTGGCATTTTTGGAGTACGTTTTATTCTTCATCCAAAATCCCCCTGTAGGGGGACAGGCCCGACCGAAAGGTAGCCAGCTGTGAAGGAGGAGAAGAAGCTGCCCCAGACACCCACACGTCGGCTCCAGATCCAACCTTGCACCAGAGGCCCCGCGGCCCGACGGGAGGGAAGCCGTGCCTTCCGCTGCCTCTCGCGTCAACACTTTGCGTCAGCACTTTTTGATCCACGGGGGTGTACGCCCGTCTGCGTCCCATCACTCGGAGGCGTTTTGGTGGCCGTCGTTCGGTAGCACATCGTGCGCGCGCTGGCGTCGATGAGCATCCCCGTTGCGTCGACGAGCGCCGATGACTGTCGGATAGCGTCGATTCGCACGTGCCCGCACGATGGCATGGGAGGCCGATCCGCAAGAGACCGCAAGATGGCACGGGAGACCCCCGTGACCTGCCACAGAGTTGTTGGCGGCGCCGCCGCCGCCGCTGCGTGTCCCCGCCGCAGTTTGCCGAGGCCTTGGGAAGCCAGCCAGGAGCAACGTTGGGGGGGGGGTAAGGCTGACAGGGGAATGCCAAGGCGCCCGACGATCATCAGCAAAAAACGCCTGACTTGGTGACCCGAGACGTAATCAGTGTGCCCGAGACTGTTGGGGACGTTGGAAGTCGTATGGGTGTCGATCTAAACATTTCGGTCACGTTCTGGCGCGGCCAGAAAATTCGGGAGCCAGTTTGGGTTCACACTCGGGCAGATGTTCGTGCACTGCGTCGGTTACTACACTCTCCTGATAGAGACGAGGCTGCGTGAGAAATGCATCGACCCCCAATCGTCCATTCGTCGCCGATAGGGACCTGATAGCCCCCCCCCGCCCAGCAACGTGCGGATTCGGTATTGGAGGCCTATCGCCGATCTATCGGCGATGTATCGCCGACTCCCCAGCTTGATGTTTCCCCCCCACCCTGAGCCAGCCCTCTCCTGACGTTGACCCTCAGGCCAGACCGTATAAAATTTGTGTATTTCTTGGAGACGTATCTAAGGAGGGAAAGAAACACAGACACAATGAATCGTCGATTCCCCAGAGAATATGGGAAAATCTGAAAAGTGGGGGGAAGACAAAAACCCAGAAAAATATTGGAAAGTATGGGGAATCCTGTTATTTGTATGTATTTATTTGTGTGTCCCAGGGCCTCTTCACTTATGAAGTTCGTGTATTCCTTAAAGCCGTAACGTTTGTCATGGGGGGTCCACCTCGCCGTCCCCGCCAGAGTCGGTTACGAGGGTGGGGGTCAGCCCCTACGCACCCCACCCAACCATCCACGCTCACCAGCAGACGGTGGGGTTCGGATGCTGTTGTGGTGGTCGCGCGCACGTTGCTGTGTTCGCAGACATGGTGGGCCATTCTGGTGCTCACAGACACTGGCGCTTGCACTGCGATGCCCACAGGCGTGTTGTGGCGCTGATAGCCTCTTACGTCGCGCGCACTCTCACCGTGGGCGGTCGCGGACAGATTGCGTCGATCGCAGGGTATTGTGGCCTTGGTTGATTCCAGCATGCCGTTGCTCATGCACACGGAGGTCGCAGGCTATTGCGGCATCGGCGCGGTCTGGTTTCCCTCGCAGTCTGGCGGTTGCAAGTAGGGACGAGGAGGAGAGGGAGGAGTAGGCGGAGGAGAAAAGAGGGAACACTAATGTTATCAGCGGCTGGTGCAGGCAGGCTGTCGGTATGTGATGGGTAAAGGCCCGCGGTCGTGGCGTTTACAGGCACGGCGCGGTGGCCGCCACCTCTTGTGGTGCTCACAGGCATGTTGTGTTGGTCGCAAAGCGTCTGTGCTGATGGAAGGGGGTGAATCTGCCGAGCATACGCGTGTTGTTGTTGTTGTTGTTGTTGTTGTTGTTGTTGTTGTTGTTGTTGTTGTTGTTGTTGTTGTTGTTGTTGTTGTTGTTGTTGTTGTTGTTATTGTTGCTGTTGCTGTTGCTGTTGCTGTTGTTGCTGTTGTTTTTGTTGTTGCTGTTGTTGCTGTTGTTGCTGTTGTTGCTGTTGTTGCTGTTGTTGCTGTTGCTGTTGTTGTTGTTGATGTTGTTGTTGGTGGTGTTGTTATTGTTGTGGTGGTGGTTGGTGTTGTTTTAGGTCTCATGCGCATTGTGTTTCTAGGTGCGTCGTTGGTCTCGCAGGCGAACTATGGAAGGGTGCGGAACCGACAGACTAATGTGCCCAGAGCAAGGACACGTATTTCTATGATTTCCTTGGCAAAAAGGGTTTTGACTTGTGTCGCCGGGCTCTCTGCCACGCAGCCGCGCGCTTGGCGCTCTTGCGCACCTCCGGCACGCCCGCGAGGGACTTCACGCTCTGAGTGGCTCCCGCCTCTGTGACCCTCTTCCCCTGCGTCGTCCTCCGCTCTCCTCTGCCTCACGTCGTTCCCGGCGCGCCCCGCCCGTCCCTGCCCATTGGATGCTGGAGCCTTCCAGCCGTGGCCGACGAGATCGGTCCCTATACCGATTTTGCTTACAATGTCGGTAGCGGTCGCGACCGAGTTGCGTCAACGTCGGCCGGGACCGATCGGTCGCGACCGACGTGGAGTGCCGATCGGTCGCTACCGATCGCGGCCGGCCAGAAATCGGTATCCAATGATCTGGGGCAGCCCGACCGGCGCCTGCACCAGCTTCGATCCGCTTGCGCCCGCTGAGTCCAAACAGTGCTTCGCGGGGCTGAGCCTCCCCAGGCCTTCCACGGCCCCAGGGCTGTCAGGCAGAGGCCCAGGATGACAAGCCTGTCCTGGGGAAGGCCCCTTGGGTCCAGGCCTACAAGCCGTACCAAACAATGTTCTAAGAACCTTTTGTGGTTTCCACGAAATGTTCTTAGAGCATTTCTGGCGGAGTCTGTTTTGTTTTAATACATCGGGTATATGGTAGAAGAACATTGATTTTGTTATTCGAACCTTTTTGGGTCCTAAGAACATTTCGTTGTAGGACTATAGGAATGCCGGGACGGTCGGTCCCGCGCTTACAGTGGAGACTCATGCCAAGAAACACTTTGCTTGCCTCCAGGGTGCTTGGGTTTCGATGGTTTTGCGATGGAGGGCGCGACGTGCCCACACCAAAAACCAATGGACGCCATGGGGTCTCGGGGTTGGGTTTCTTGCGGAAGGTTTCCTGTGGAATGGTTTCCACTGCACATCAGGACCCGTTTCCTTCATGGCATTCAAGGTTTGTGCCCTTGGATGTGCCAGCCTTCATTATTCTGGCACTCTTGGGCCCTGCCTTGCGGCGGCGCAGCAGAATTGCTAGGCCGTCCAGTCTCGGGAGACGCGGATGGTGTGTCGTGCAGCGGAGAGACAAAGCAGAAGGGAACATCGCAGCCCGTCCATCACCACCCACCAAACCATCCCGACCCAAGTCGAATGCCCTATTCTGCCCTCCATTCCCAGGGGGGGGGGGAAGGCGTCGGGGAACATTGAAAAACCGCATGTGGAGCCCGTACTCCCCCAACCCGAAGTTTGGGTCTTCGGGTTGGGTTAGAGTGGTCTGGTAGGTAGTGCAGAGGTGCTCACGGAATGTGGCGGTGGACACACAGACCTTTTGCGGCCGGGATGGCGTTTCCACCGCGGTAGGCGTGAAGGGCCCCCATTTCAGGAGATCTTACTAGGGATTCCGAGGCGGATCCAACCGTGACGAGGGCGCCCCTGGAGTCCCAAAATTGCAGGAGGTCGCCCCACACCTCTGTAGTATTCGATCGACGATTGCGACCATCACGATGGCGACGACGACGACAACGACGACGACGGTGACGGCGACGGCGACGGCGGCGGCGGCGGCGGCGACGACGACGACAGTGTCGGCGGCGACGGTGTCGGCGGCGACGACGATGACGACGACGATCACAACGACGACGGCGGCGGCAGCGATGGCGATCACGACGACGACGGCGGCACCTTCCGGGGGGGTCCAGAGGTCCCCGCATGCTCTCCGAAGGTCCCCAAGGCCCCCCAAGAAAGCTCCCAGAAACCCTCGCTTGGCATCGCTCGGACGTGTGCATTTTTCTCGGCGAGAACCATCGAGGACCATCCTGGACCATCGAGCAAAAGAATCACGCACGAAACCAAAAAATGCACGGGAAATTGACGTCCGAGCGACGGCAAGCTCGCGACGGCGCCGGCGACGGCGGCGCGCCAGGCAGGGCTTTCCGAAGGCGTTTGCGGCGACGGCGGCGGCGACGACGACGGCGACGACGACCGCCACGGCAACGACGGCAGCGGCGGCGCCGGCTGCGCGCCAGGCAGGGCCTCGTCGGCGCCGTCTGCGGCGGCCTCGCGGGTGGGCTCGCCGGCGCCCTCACCACGCCCCTCGATGCGGCTCCGCCCGCACTGCGTGCGCGCGCGCCGCCGTCGCCGAACTCGGCACGCTGTCTGCTGAGGGGCCCTCGGAGGCCCTTCGGCAGCCCATCGGCGGCCCTTGGCGAAGCCGTCGTCGTGGTTCTCTTCGTCGGGGGCCCGCGTGTCCTCCTCCGTCCGTCCTCCGTCCTCCTCCTCCGTCCTCCTCCTCCTCCGCCTCCTCCTCCTCCTCCTCCTCGTCGTCCTCCTCCTCCGTCCCCCACTCCCTTTCCCCCTTCCTGTCGCCGCGCGCGCGCGTGCGCGGCACAGAGTCGCCGGCGCCGTCGTCGCCCTCAGTCCCCCTCATGTGGCCTCAGAGGCCCATCTGTCGCCTCCCTCATCCTGTTTTGGGGTGTCTTGGGTTCCCTGGACACCCCCGCGCAGAGGCCTCCTCACCCGCCTCCTCTGCCCTTTCTTGGTACAGTCACCCCGCGTAGCAAGGATGGGCGATGTTTCAAAGGGTACCCCCTGCATCCCTGCCTCCTCGGTCCATCCTTAGCCACTTTCGCTGGCCGCGCCCCGCTCGAAAAGCTTCGAAACGGCCTCCCGAGGTTCTTGCATTCTTGTCGTACATCCTCTTATGATACGGGTCCACTGTACACTCGTGATTCAGCTGCCTGCGACAAGTCCCGCCACCGTGCCAGCCCAGCATTCTGGCGGGCGGCTGTTCGAGGGGCCACGGGGGGCCGTCACACGTGACGCCTCGTGTCTCCAGGTTGGGGAGAGCCTTGATGAGACTGATGAGGATGATGATGATGATGAGTATGATGATGACGACGAGGAGGAGGAGGAGGACCAGTGTAAACCCAACAATCCTAAACAAAGTTGCAGGAAGCCGTTCCTCCAAGCTCCCCCTTTCATAGGCCCCTGCAACGGTTTATTTCCATTGGGGGAGATACCTCGTTGGAAGACAACCGTTTGAAGACCCTGAAGATTGCCAAAACATTACTGTCGGGATTCGAACGCCACGGATCAACCTGACTGTTCCGTCTTGAGGATCCTGAATCGTACCAGAACGCTTGTCTTGGGATTTCAACACAGCGAATCAATTGAATTGTTGCACCCGCATGATCCTGAATCCTTACAAACACCGTTTCTGATCCGTTGATGATGGGAATCCGTGACTATCGTGCGCATCTAATTGTGTGAGCGAATGTGCGCAGCGCTAAGCCGAGAGCCACATATTGAAAAGGAACCGCCCTCAATCCGTGAAACCCTTGCGAACGTTTAAGACGAATGTGCGCCGTGCTAAACCGCGAGCCACATTTTGAAAACGGGTCGCCCTTATATGTGAAACCGTTGCAACTGTTTGTGAGACGAATGTGCGCCGCGCTCAGGCGAGAGTCATATTTTGAAAACGGGGCGCCCTCAATATGTGAAGCTCTTGAAGTCTTTAAAATGAATGCGCGCCGCGCTAAAGCGAGAGCCACATTTTGAAAACGACCCGCCCGCCATCTGCGGAACTGTTGCTAAAGTGTAACGGATGGTGAGGATGTCCCAGGCACAACGCTTGGCCCGCCCTAAAAATTGCCCTCGGGGTGTGACAGGGAGAAGTCGTTCACAAGGACAAGGAATGGAGGAGGAGGAGCATGAGGAGGAGACGGAGGAGAACGAGGAAGGCCGTCATATGTGACGCCTTTCGTCCTCATTCTTGAGGAGCTCCTGGGGCTGTCCTCCTTCCTATGGGGCAGTCTTGGGGGTCCCTTGGTGCCCTCCTGGGCCGTCGCGGGCCCCTGTCAGGCCGTGCTGTGGGCTCTCTTCGGCAGGATCTGGACCCCTCTTGGGGCCCTCTTGGGGGCCTATTGGGCTATCTTGGTATCGCTCGGACGTGTGCACTCTTTCCCGTCGGGGATTATTAAGGAGCATCCTGGAACATCTTGCGACAAGCAACGCACGAAACCGAAAACCGCACAGGGAATGGACGTCCGAGCGACGGGGAGCTATCCCCTGAGCCGTCCTGAGCTGACGGAAGCCCGAACGGGTGAGAATCTGAAGATCAAGTCAGCATTTCGGGACTATCAGTGAGTTTGGTTCCTTCGGAAGTTGTTGGAGGTCCTCTCTTGTACCCCCTTTGGCCTGCTTGGAGGCATCTTCGGCCGTCTTCAGGCCAGCTTGGGCCGCCTTGGGGCTACCTTGGGCCGCCCTCGAGACATCCTGGGCCATCTTGTAAGCTCTGGACGTGGACCCACTGTGTTGTCAGCTCCCCCGAGGGCGCGAAGTTATTCGCGCTTCGCGGTCCTCGCTCCTTCTCCCCCCTCCTCCTCGTCCTCCTATTCTCCCTTTGGGGGGGCGGCGCGAGGGCGCGAAGTTATTCGCGCTTCGCGCTTCGCGCAGCGCGAAGCGCGAAGTTGGGAGCCCTAGGTTGTGTCGGGTGGTCATGGCCTCGGGAGCGCGGACCCAGAACTTTGCACAACAGGCAGTGGCCTCGGGAGAGGAAGGGGTGCGTGCTCCTGCCTGCAGTGTGAGGGATGGTCCACCAGGAGGATTTAAGAGGCCCTGTCAGACTCGGTGGCGAGCCCAGGGGGGAGTGCAGAGGGGGCGGGCCTTCTCAGAATGCTCGGAAGGCCTCCTGCCTTCTGAGAGGTATTCTGAGCGTTCTCCGAAGACACAGGATACCTCTCAAAAGGCCAGCGGGCTTCTGAAGAGCCCCGCCATTTTTGAGAAGGCTTGCCCCCTCGCACTTCCCCCCGGTCGCGCCGCCGACAGACAGCACTTGGCATTCTACCACGCCTGAGCGTGGAAGGAGGGAAGGTGGCAAACTGCGTGCGTTCACGCACTCACGCACTCACAAAGACGCCAAGGGAAATAGATTCGCTCGCCTCAGGGGGGGGCAGGAGGGGAGGACGAGGAGAAGACAGGAGGAGGGTCTCCACGATCACGAGGACGGCGACGACGACAGTTGCTCTCAGGCGGGGCCCTGCTGTCAGAGTTCGTTTGATGTTTTTTGTGTTTGCGTTTGTTGGCCTTGTGAGGGCCTCCGGAGACTTCCATGGGGCCCCCCCCCTCCATTTGCTCCCGATCCCCGCTCGCTCGTCCCCTTCCTCCCTCCATTCCTCCTGCTCTTACCCCCTTCTCTTCCCTTCCCTCCTCCCCGCCCGCTCCCCTCTCTTTCGGTCCAGACCGCAGGGGGGGTAGGGAAAGGGGGGGGGTACGAAATCTGCTGCATTCAGCTGGTTTCAGCCCCACCGAGGGGCCCAGTCCCCGATACATGGCCGCCTCCGGCGCCAGGAGGCGCCGGGAAAATCAGCTACGTGAGCTGATTCTCAAACCCCCCTTTGCTATCCCCCCCGACTCGTCCGTCCCCCCTTCTCTTCCCCCGCCCCCTCCCTTGCCCCCCTGCCACCGCGCCCGCTCGCTCCCCCGCTCGTACAATCGCGCGCCAGCGCGCGTGGGAGGGGGAGGGGGAGGGCGAGGGGTGGCATCAGGACGCGAACTCAGGGAGGAGAGAGGGAGAGATGGGGAGGACGCCGCACAGAGAGAGAGAGAGAGAGAAAAAAAAAAAAAAAAAAAAAAAAAAAAAAAAAAAAAAAAAAAAAACATAAAGAGAGAGAGAGAGAAAAGAGAGAGAGAGAGAGAGTTAGAGAAAGAGAAAGAGAGAGAGAGAGAGAGTAGAGCGGCGAGGGGAGAGCGGGGAGAGCGGGGGAGTGTCGGAGAGTGCCGTCCGACATTTTACGCCTTCTCCACAGGATCCCTGCGCCTTTCACCCCCTCCTTTGCCATCACCGAGACCGGCAGCCAGCCAGATAATTTGCCTGAGATCTCCATCCAGTGGCAAGTACCGTTCGTATCCCACTTCCAAAAAAGAAACATCCCTCGTATTGTCTGCCTTAATCCCCATCCGCCCTTTGCGAATGCATGCCCTGGGCGCTTGCTACCACGCATGCAGGTCCATGGATCGACGCGGCAAGGTCAGTTTAATTTCCCCATGTGCATCGTCGTTCGCAATTGTTGATCCTCCTCCCCTTGCCCCCACATCCCCTTGCGGTTTGGCTCGCCAACTGACATTTCCGCACCCTCTTCATCTCTCCATCTCAGATGGGCAAGAGCTCATGCGAATGATATGGTCCAAGATGCCCGAGGTTTCCGTTTTTTCAACATATGTCCAAACGTTCCACACGGACCGTACAGTGAAGACCCATGCCAAGACACACCCTGCTTGCATCCAGGGTGCCCCGGTTTACTTTTTGTTGAGGGGGGTCGATGGTTCTGCTATGGACAGCGTGACGTTCTCACACCGAAAGTCAATGGACGTCCTAGGGTTTCAGGGGTAGGTTTCTTCTGGAAGGCTTCTTGCTGTTGAGTTCCTACTGTAGACACGCCGTTCGCTCCAATTTTGGGACATCCTGGAATGCACCTTGACCTAATGTTATCATGATGGCATCCTCGCCTTATCACCCCCCCCTGCGTGAGCGAGGATGACGGGGGAGCATGAGGAGGGAAAATCACAGAGACGTCGATTCCCAGGAACAGATGGAACATACGGGAAGTAGAGGGGAAGGCGAACGTCCAGGAAATATTAGAAAGTACGGGTGATCTTGGGATTTGTGTCGGAGGGGCAGGATTATCAGGAACAGCGACAGCAGCACAGAGGGGAGTGGACAGGAGCAGGAGGTGCGGAAGCAGGAGGAATTGGAGGAGCAGGGCGATTATTGGGAGAATGGATGTGTGGGGACAGGAGCATGCGCGGAAGGAGCAATGCCAGGACAGCGGGGATGGGCAGCCACATCGAGGCCGGATCGGCGGCAGGCAGGAGGGGGCGAGCGCGACCTTGGCGAGAGCACCCTCGAGAGCCGTGCGTGCTTGCGTTCGTGTATGCCTCTGTATGCGCGTGTCATTGCGTCTTCTTCCGCATGCGCTCGCGTAGCGCAGCCATCATTTTTTTTTTCTGCACGCGACTCGCCTTGCGTTGTGCGTTGTCCTCTGTCCACCCATCTGCAACGTCAGGTTGAATTGACGCGAACCATGCCCCGCTGTAGCTCT